TGTACAGCACATACTCTAGATTCATTCATCTTATGTGACACGGCACTAAGAAGGCGCCCACCCTGTACTGACCATGTCCCCATACTATGTACCCTAGATCTCGACATACATCACACCTCAACCACCACCATGTCCACCACCATGTACAACTACTGCAACGTCAACTGGGAAGAATTCAGCGGCTGCCTAAACTGCCACCTCCGCAACATTCCAGCACCTAAGACCATCACCTCCGAGCATCAATTCCAACTTGCCGCATCCAACTTCAGTAAGGCGCTGACGTGCGCGATAGAAGAAAAAGTCCCATTGTCAAAACCAAGCCCTCACGCGAAGAGGTGGTGGACGAAAGAGCTATTGTTGATGATGAAAGAGAAAAACAAGCTGAGTGATCTATCATATAAGTTAAGAGGACTACCGATTCACCCCGTACACGAGGAACACCGCATCTTTCGCAACAAGGTTACCGCAGCCATACAGAAAACCAAGCAAGAGCACTGGATCAAATTTCTGGAGAAATTAGATCAGCAAAGTATCTACACCGCGAACAGATACCTATCCTCACCATTGAGTGACGGCGGCAGAACCAGTATACCAGCCCTCAAAACTAAAGACGCCAACAGCTTGCCCATAGAAGCCATCACCAACACTGAAAAAAGCAACACACTCGTCAACTCATTCTTCCCGCCTCCACCCCCAATGAGCTCAATCCCAGAAGACTTCACCTACCCCGACCCGATCACCCCCTTCACATCAATCTCCGAAGAACAAATCAATCACGCAATCGCCAACACCAGCTCGTTCAAAGCCCCTGGTCCAGACGGCATCTGCAACATTGTCTTCAAACGCACATCGACAACACTCATTCCTTACCTCTATCACTTATTCAATGCTGTATTCACCCTTAAGACCTACTATGATCCATGGAGAGAATTCACAACAGTGGTCCTACACAAACCTGGGAAAACCGACTACACAGTCCCCAATGCCTACCAACCTATTGCACTTATTAACACAACGTGTAAACTGCTAACTGCCATCATTGCCAAACAAGTATCCTACATCTTAGAACACCACGACCTAATCCCGAACATGCACTTTGGAGGCCGTCCTGGAAGAACAACCACTGACTCCCTGCACCTCCTGGAAACGACGGTCAAGAACGCCTGGCGCAATGGCAAAGTAGCTTCAATCCTTTTCCTTGACATAGAGGGAGCATTCCCGAACGCTGTCACGTCTCGGCTAACCCACAACATGTGCAAATGCAAACTGCCGCCAGAACTAGTTGAGTTCACGGAAAGAATGCTCACTGGCCGACACACACAGCTCAAATTCAATGATGCAACCTCTGACTGGATAGAAATCAGGAATGGAATCGGACAGGGGGACCCTTTATCTATGATCGCCTACTTAATATACAATGCTGACCTAATTGATATAGCCGATCTGAGCAATGGAGAAATTGCCCTAGCTTTCATAGATGACACAGCATACATTGCCATAGGTACATCATTTGAAGACACTCACAATACCCTCAAAAGCATGATGGAAAGACCTAATGGCGCCCTTCAATGGTCAATAGATCATAACTCGAAATTCAAAGTCAACAAATTCACCCTAATAGATTTCACAAGAAGCAAGGCATGAGCATGCCATCCCTAGTCATACAAAACACCACCATTAACCCCGCTGAGCACCATTGATTCCTAGGCCTACTTGTCAACCAAGAACTAACGTGGAAACATCATATTACGCCATTGCAAAGGGCACTGAATACGTCCTCCAACTGCGCCGCCTCTCGAGAATCTCCAACAGAGTTTCTGCAAAGCTAATGAGACAGCTATATGTAACAGTCACTATCCCCAAATTCACATATGGCGCAGATATTTGGTTCAAACCCATCTATATTGAAGGATCCAATGTAGAGCAAAGAGGGTCCAAAGGAGTAGCAGAAAGGCTAGCGAAAGTTCAATGGGTCGCGACACTGAGTATCACAGGCGCCATGAGAACTACCACTACTGACTCACTTGATACCCATGCCAACCTTCTCCCAATAGGTCTTCTCCTCCAGAAAGTATGTCACCAGGCAGCACTCCGCCTAGCTACACTCCCTGCCCGCCACCCTCTCCACAAGCACCTGAAACACATCACCAAGCACCACAGCATCAAATGTCACCGATCGTCACTGCACAACCTGCTCACCATGTTCAAAGCATTCCCGGAGGACATTGAAACGCTAGATCCAATAAGAAGATAAAATGCCACGACACCGAATGTCTATGACACCCATATTGCACCAAAAAAAGAACTAGCTATCGAAGAGCAGAAGAACCTCAAGGACGAAATCCAAATCTTCACTGACAGGTCAGGGCATAATGGAGGGATTGGCGCAGCAGCGGTACTTGTGAGAGAAGGCAAGGAACCCAGGACGCTCAAATACTACCTTGGACTGGACAAATCCCACATGGTATATGAAGCTGAAGTAGTTGGGCTAATGCTCACAGCCAAACTCCTAGCAACCGAACCGAATGTAGTCTACCCTGCAACCATCTTCATCAACAACCAAGCAGCTATCAAATCTGGTGAGAGCCATAGAACAAAACCGGGTGGATACTTAACAGAGAACTTTCGCAGCATGACCAGATTCCTCGCTAAGTGCAGGGCGGAACAGGAGTGCAATTTCGGTTTAACAGTGCGCTGGGTCCCCGGCCACAAGGGGATTAATGGAAACGAGCTTGCTGACAAGGTGTTATGACCCACGTTCACCAATAATGATGAAGGAGAGAACACAACCACTAGGACTCGGTCAGAGAGGATGATGATGAACGGAATGGTATTGAGCGTGAACATCTAAGTCACTACTACAGCAGTAGGAAACGAAGAGGTTAAGTCTAAGGAGCTCTTATGCTAACTACCCTACTTTTATACATAACATTGAGTAGGAGTCTGAAAGAAATCAGCCAATGAGAAAAGAGTCGTACAATACTGCGGATGAGTAAGTATGACATCATGATATATAAGTGACTGAGTAAGACGGTTACTAAATAGAAACCCAAGATCCGACCGGTTCTTCTTTAGGAAGCGAGATTGTTCTAGCCCGTGGAGTAGGGGAGCCAATCGGAGAAGCAACGGGTGACATATGACGAGGAGTCACGTGACCGGCTCGGGTACTGGAAGTAGCCGAAGGAAAACCGAGAAATGAAAAATGGTTCGTATTAGGAATTCGTGACACAAGGTGGCGAAAGAGGCGGCTGAAGGACCCCATCAGAGCAGCGCGAGACAACTCCTCCCCTCCTACCTCAAAGACAAACCCCTACCAGATAGTGTATCAGTACTAAAACAGTGGCATGATCACAAGCTAAACAGACACTGGGCCGCAAAGTGGAAGAAATCTCCCTGTTATGCGAGAACAAAGACCATCAATCCTACCATGCCATCCAACAAGTTCATCAAACTCATTGCCCTACTCCCGAAGCAAAAATCCAGCATCTACATCCAGCTCCGCACTTGCCACCTCCCTCTCAACCAGCACCTACACCGCTGTGGGGAATTCCCCCACTGTAGGTGTAAAACCCCGTCCTTTCCGCACCATCTCACATCAGTTCCGCATATTCCGCACGTTCCGCATTTCCCACGCATCGTCCGACAGGTTCCGCATTCCCGCGCATCCTTTGGAACCCGCCCACACTATCCGATATTCCCACGCATCATCGGACAACCTTCACATGTCCTGTCCCCATCCTTCCAGGTCCATTGGTATGCTGTATCTCTCTTCCCATTGTTCCTAACATTATCCGGATCAAATTGACACATGCCCTTATGGCACGGACCCCTATTCCGGAGTATTGCACCCTTGTGCACTGCCTGCCTTCACTTCTGCTTCCTGAGAACTTACTACCTGTACCTCAGTGTTCCTTGAAAATAATCTTCCCTTTAAGTAGTGGTACTCAGGGCTTGGGGGTGTTTTTATTGAATCCCATCTTTTACCTTCCCACTTTCCCTTCACCTTACTAGAGGACCACTTTGACTTATGCCCACTATCAATCTAACCTTGTGACATACTTCCTTCGACTTGATCTGCAAGTTCCGATGACTCTGTATGTTCCACATTGTATCCAGTTGAGTTCCGCTTCATTCCATTTCATTCCGCTTGAGTTCCGCTTGTTCCGCATTTTTGCAGATCCTCATCCTACCTGCGTGTTGAGGCTTACAAGCCGAGAACACGTGCTTACAAAGCACAGGTAGTGGACTTATTCTGAGTTTCGGAGAAAACATATGATATATAATGTATCTAGGAGATTTCCGTAAAATTATCATCTTGCGCTCCTATACTCGTCGTCTGCTTCTATCAGAACACGCATTGCAACTCTCCAGTCACAACCTTAATCTTAATAGGTTATGAGCCCTGACGTGCACAAATAAGATTATAAAACATATATCAGACGAGATCTAACCAAAAAACAAACCTCCAAAATGATGGACCAACCTACCGGTTCTTCACTGTCGTCGCTATACCGGATTGAGCACTTGAATGATGAAAATTGGTTGGGATGGAAGCACCGTGTCAAAGCCATCCTATTTGAAAAAGGACTCGAAGGATATGTCGAAGGTACTGTCCCTAAGCCAGAAAGAGGCCCAGCGCCTGTATCAGCTCAAAGGGAAGCAGACATTACCAAGTGGGAGACAAATGACTGTAAAGCCCAGACTGTGATAGAGCTGTCAGTAGCTGACAGCCAAATGATTCACTTATCTGGAGCGAAAATGGCAAAAGAAATGTGGGATCAGCTTAAACTTGTGAAAAAATCACGAGGTAAACAAGCAACCACCACATGGCAGCGAAAGCTGTATAGAACTTTTGCCGATGATGACGATGACATCCCCACACATGTCAAAAATATGAGGGAGATCCAGGAAACCCTACATATGATGGGAAGTTTGGTGTCAGAAGATGATTTCTGCACCATATTGATCTCATTGTTACCGGAATCTTGGGACACTTTACCATGACGTACCAAAATAGGATTGGTGACACATCCGCAATCACTTCGCATGAATTAATCTCCCTTATCTTGGAGAAGAGCACGCAAAGGAAAGAAAAACTCTGCAGAAAAGGACATGGAAAAGACAATGCACTTACCATGAAGGAAAAGAATCTGAAAAAGAAGTGTGAAAGGAAGGAAGTCAAGAAGTGTCGAATCTGTAAAAAGTCTGGCCACACCGATCAGGACTGCTGGTTCAAGGACAAGCAGACCAAATGCTCCAACTGCCATAAGAGCAGGCATGCTATTGAGATGTGCTGGAGCAAAGGAGGCGGACAGGCGGGCACAGGACCGTCTAAACCTTCTCCCCTGAAGCGTGCCAAGAAAGACAACACAAATGTCGTTGAAGACATTAATGACGTTGCTGAGGATGCGCAATATTATGAGGAGGAAGATGTTGCCTTTTTAGGTGACGATATGGAAGAGGTTGTCGAAGAACAACCTGACGTACCTCAGGCTAATTATAGCCAAGGTGAATATGACAAGTTGATCAAGTTTGATTGGCTTGCTGACTCAGGCACCACATCACACATCACGAAGATTAAATCTGCATTAATGGATTATGTTCCGCTTAAATCCCATAAAGTTACAGGAATAAGTAACCAGTCTATTAAGGCTGAGGGATGAGGGACAGTTGAACTCGTGAGTAGTGTAGGTAAACATCAGATTAGGTGCAATTTAAAAAATGTCCTGTATGTACCGACTGCAACAAATAACCTTGTGTCTATGACCCGCCTAGACAGAGAGGGAGGACATGCAATTATGGGAAATGGTGGAGTAACTCTTAAAGTGCCCAGAGGATGTATCATTGCCAAAAGGAAGCTACATAACGGGTTATATTTATTAAATCATACTCAGGTGAAATTACAAAAGACAACTAAAATATATACTGCCCAAGAAGTCAAACCCGTAGATTGGCTTACCTGGCACAAGAGATTTGGCCATGTAGCCTTTAGCGGCCTAAAGCACCTATACAGAGAAGGATTAGTGGAAGGTATGGAGGTGTTAAATGAAAATTCACCTATGCCACAGTGCGAAGCCTGTATACAGGCAAAACATGCGAGAGATTCATTTCCGCATGCAACAGATCATTGTTCCGGATCACTTGGGGAACTCACCCACAGTGATGTATGGGGACCAGCACAGGTACAGTCTATTGGTGGATCTAAATATTATATCTCATTCACGGACGACTGCTCCCGAAGGTGCAGTGTCGAGTTCATGAAATGAAAGAATGAGGCATCCACCAAAGTAAAACAATATGTGATGTACCTAAAGAAGCGTTGGACGGATCAACCGAAAAAGTTCCGAGTTGACAACAGAACAGAATATATTAATAATGACTTAAAAACCTGGTGTAAAAATGAGGGGATTGAGCTCCAGACTACTGCACCGTCCTCACCTGAGCAAAATGGTGTGTCTGAGAGACTCAACCGCACATTAGCAGAGCTTGCTCGAGCAATGCTAATTGAAAAAGACTTACCGGAGTCTTTATGGGCAGAAGCGGTATCACATGCCGCATATATTCGAAATCACACGCCTACATGAGCGCTACAAGGTGCAATGCCAGAGGAACTATGGAATGGTAAAAAACCCAATATAACTCACCTACAAGAATTTGGTGCACCAGTATATGTGCTCCAAGAGGGCACAAATCAATCTAAAATGAGTCCGAAGTCAGTAAAGCAAATCTTTGTGGGATTTGCAGACGGACCTAAAGCGATAAAATATTATAATACATGGATGCACCAAATTAGAGTGTCAAGGAACTTCAAGTTCCTGACAAACCTCCCGACGACGGACGCACTAGATGCGCAGTGCGAGGGGGAGACAGAAAGAATGGACGTACTGCCATCAGCAAGCGCAACATCTTCTGTAAATAAAAACCATTCAAATGAAAATCAGCATGATCATCTGATGAGAGAAGATGAGAACTCACCCTTAAAAAGGAAACATCTTCCCGAAGATGAAGAAGATCTACCCAGAAAATTGAAAAGACAAACAGTAAGACATGATTATCGTCAGTTGAATGACCCAGAACCAGAATGGGCTTACCTCGAATGTGAGCATCATGAAATCGAAGATGAACTCACCGAGGCAGATATAGTTCTAACCGCATTTGCCAATAATGGCAGCTTTGAACCACATGAGCTGAAATCACTGAAAGAAGCGCAAGCATCAGATGATTGGCCAAAGTGGGAACAAGCAGTGCAGGCAGAACTTACCCAATTGGACCAAATGGGCACCTGGGAACTGGTAGATCCCCCAAAAGATCGCACCCTCATCGGGAACAAGTGGGTACTTGTAAAGAAAACAAATAAAGAGGGGGAGGTGGTCAAATACAAAGCATGGTTAGTAGCCAAAGGGTACTCACAGATACTGGGGATGGACTATACAGACACATTTTTGCCGGTGGTGCACCTAGAAACAATAAGATCAATGATGTCCATGGCAGCATCCCTCGATTGGGAAGTGCAGCAGATGGATGTCAAAGGGGCGTACCTTAATGGCATGCTAAAAGAGGAAGTCCATATGGAACAACCCGAAGGCTATAATGATGGAACCGGCCAAGTATGCAGACTGCAAAAAACCCTCTATGGGCTAAAACAGTCAGGCCAAGAATGGAACCTAGAGCTGAACAGCCGCCTGACAAGCATTGGATTCAGACGACTGAGATCTGATCCATGCACATACATCAGAGAGACCGCGAATGGAACAGAAATAATTACCATATGGGTCGATGACCTATTATTATTCGCGGATCACTCGAGTCTGATGGATCAATTAAAGGCACAACTTAAAAATATCCTAGATGTTACTGACCTTGGAGAACCGAGAAAAATTGTTGGGATCGAAATTACTCAAGATAGGCCTAACAGGTCAATCCGACTCACGCAGACCAAATATATTGAGTCTATCCTAGCAAAACAAGGTCTCCAGTCATGTAATTCAGTAGGTATGCTGCTAGATCCAAAGATCATACTTGAGAAAGAAGCGACTGACCAGGAAGGCAACCGAAGTAACGGTTACGCATCATTGATCGGATTGTTGATGTATTTGGCGGTAGCCACGCATCCAGATATAGTTTATGCTATACAGAGACTTAGCTCATTCACTGCGAAACCCAGGATTAGCACATTGGGTAGCAGCAAAACGTGTTTTAAGATACTTAGCTGGAACACAAGAGCTTGGAATCAAGTACCAAGGTACCAGAGAACTCGACAAAAGCCAAATTCAATTTGTCGGATGGTCAGATGCTGATTATGCGAACGACCCGAGAGATCGGATATCCATATCAGGATATGTCTTTAAACTTGGAGGCGGAGCGATCACCTGGAGCTCAAAAAAGCAAAATGCAGTTTCTCTTTCATCAACAGAAGCAGAATATGCTGCAATGGCTCACGCTGCACATGAAGCCATATGGCTCCGAAATTTATTCGAGGAACTAAACTTACCTCAGAATGATCCAACCATTCTTCATGGAGACAATATGTCCACACTTGCAATTGCGCGAGACCCACAATATCACGTGAGGTCCAAACACTTTGATGTAAAGGACCACTACATCAGGCAGAAGATCCAAGATCGGGTGATTCACGATCAGTACTGCCACACTGATGAAATGATTGCAGACATATTAACAAAGCCGCTACACAAGCCGAAACATTGTAAATTTACCAATGATCTAGGCATGGCCTCGGCTTGAGGGGGAATGTTGAGGCTTACAAGCCGAGAACACGTGCTTACAAAGCACAGGTAGTGGACTTATTCTGAGTTTCGGAGAAAACATATGATATATAATGTATCTAGGAGATTTCCGTAAAATTATCATCTTGCGCTCCTATACTCGTCGTCTGCTTCTATCAGAACACGCATTGCAACTCTCCAGTCATAACCTTAATCTTAATACTGCGGTAGGGTTGAATAGGGTCGTTTAGACAGAGATTAGCATTCCCCAGTAGCAATCCCCTTTAGGGTTGAACATGCTTGTTCCCAAGTGAGGCAGTAGGCAGCAAAGACCCAACTTTGTAGTAGATCGATTTATCTCCACTGCACTTGTTGTACCCACACCGCATAGGAAAAAGTGAATCTCCACACTGCTCTGCCTGTACCAACGTAGTCAAATCAGTCCATCACTTTCTCTTTGACTGTCCCCAATATGCACAAGAACACCATCACTTCGCCAACACCCTGCGACACCAAGCCACATCCATTTCCCACATTCTCACCTCCAACACGGCCACCAAACCACTCATGCGTTATATCAACAAAACAGGCAGATTCAAAGCAATGTTCGGTGAGATCTTGGATAGCTAAGAACCTTCATCAATTCACGTGCACCTACAGTACTAGCATACAACATAATTACCACTCTAATCATCTCCAAGACCGGAGGGAAGACGTCTCACCGGCCAAGACCACAATGTAGGAAATGAAAGGCCCACTGGAAAACCTTTCCACCACATCATTCCCTCTGTACGAACTCAGTGTCAGCTTTAGCCTGACATCATGCTGGCAGAGTACTTGTTTTCCATTGATAACACGTTAGCGCACACACCCACTACATACATTAGTTTAGGCGGGAGTAAGCCCCCTGCATTTAGGGCTATGTCCGACATAGGGTCTTTGACCTCAAAGGACAATAAATTTGATTTTTTTTTTTTTAAAAAAAAAAAAAAAACCAGTAATCTGAGAAGTAAGAGCTATGTACCAAAGGGGAAAGTATATACCTAAATGGGAAAATGGGTTCCAGTTGAATGGAACCTATGCAGAAGGTGACCAATGAGGCAGTTGAGCGGGAGCATAGGGGCAGATGTGGGAACCAACTGGGTTGAGCAGAGACAGGCAGAGCAGAAGTGTGAGGAAAGTGGGATGCTATAGAGTCAGGAGGAGCAGATATCAATAATGTCGGAGCAGTCAGATCTGGTATGACAAAAACGTGAAATTTGGGACATGACCATATGCCTGCTTATGTATGAAGTTTTGTCCGATAATTGAGATGCCCTGAAAATTTGAAGTTTATGTTGGTGACAAAATGTGATGACAAAACTTGAAGTTTTGTCCACAGACAAAATAGATTGCCTGATCATTGCCTACCCATTGCTCGCCCATTACTCAATCATAGCCCACTCACCACCCAAACTCGTTACTGTGTGTTGGAATATTGGGTTTGGATCACACAGACGCCGAAAATCTGTTCATATTTCATATTTTCATTGACGTGTGGTCAGTGGGAAAATGGTTGTGGATGCTTCATATTTTGGACTAGCAGTTACCTGTGGCTACGCCACTCACTTGGCATTGACATTGTTCAAACGCTAACAGAATGTACGTGACAATAAAATATGTGCTGAATGGCAGTAGGTATTAGTAGCATGAGTGAAGTACTCAGTTTAATGTGATGGAGAGTCGAGACGACGACGAAAACAAAACTCAACTGTAACAATTGTATAGAGAGTCAAAAAGAATACAAATCAGTTTTCTTCAGTCCTTTGGCGCTTAGCAGGCCGGGGGACTTGAGAGAAGTCGAATTTCAACCCAGGTTTGCTCGGTGTTCCACTTGTAGAAGGACCTGATCTCTGTTATAGCTAGCGGAACAACAAAATCGATGCGATACATACCCGAGATGCTGCCCGACAACTTTGTGACGACAGGACGCCCTAGGAACACAATTGAGTCCACCTCAACTGTGAACCTATCAGTTTCAGGTTCAGATCCTTCAACAGTCTTGACCTTTCTTCCGGTAATAAAACCAGTGACAGAAATGTAACGGTGCGGCTGGGGCGTGAGCTTCTTGCCTGACTTTGTCCACCGTGCCATATTCGGAAAGCCACATTCAACTGGCAGGATGGATTTGAAAGGCCGTTGACTGGTGCTTGATGCTCCGGTGGAGTTGGTTCGAAGGCTTGAGACATACTGATGCGCGTCTATGGAAAATGTGTTTGCGAGGTCATCGACATGCTCGATGGTGCTGCAGATCTTGATGTAAGGTGTGTATAGTGGAGAAACACCATCCTTTGCAATGGGAATCAACTGCATTGGGTGACGGAAAAAATCAGGTGCGCCCATATCATGCAATGAGTGAGACATACCCTGACAACATCACCAACCAGATCAAAGTACGATTCTCGGTTTCGGTCATCGAGACTAATGTTTGCACTTGGTTCCATTTTGGCAACCTTTGAGTGAATGAGTGTACAATGTAGTGGATGAAACCAAATAACACTTACTCTCGCAATGACAATGTAGAAGCCGACAGGATTGAAAGCCTGGTTGTCAGCATTAAAGTACTTCAATGCAGCTAGCAATGGAGGACAATCATCGCCTAGATAGATTTGAGCATCAAAAATGAGAGCCCTGCCTTGACCTTCGCAAAACCTCCCATTCTCAAGGACAGCAACAGCAACTATGGTGGCAGAACTTGTGCTCGAGTTCGACATGAGGAATTGTGAGCGAGAATAGTTTGTGAGACTGTGTATGATAGAGAATTAGTGCGGAATGCTCACCGGACAGTTACATTATATATTCTGGAGGCCCATCGGGTAACAGATGCATGGAATCATGCAGAATGTTCGAGAGTGTTCATAGTTGTAACTGTGAACGGGACTTGGAGTATTAGTCTCAGTAGCGAGTAAGCGACTGTCAGGGTCTTGACCCACATTGCCGACACTGTATTGTTTGACATGGGTGGCCACATGTCACATTGCACAAAGATCTGTAGAGCCGCGAGCGAGGCATTAATTTCAAAGCTAAAGGAATGATCACATATGCAATTGACTGAGCAGAAAATGAGAAATATATCTATGTGATGTAACTTCGACTGCTCTGGAGTCTGTTAGTAGTAAGCATCTTGGGTTAGCGGTGGTGATGGAATGTGCTCACCAAAGAAGAACTTCAGGGTAAACTACACTGGTAGTTTTTGAGACATCGTGAGGGAGGAGCATCTTGATATGATGACTCGAGGTTGACCGTGACAAAGCAACATAGAGTTGACCATGACTGAAGGCGGGAACTTGCAGATCAAGTCCCACAAACTTGACTGATTGACCTTGTGCCTTATTGATGGTCATCACAAACGCGAGCCGCACGGGAAATTGTCGCCGCTTTAGAACAAAGGTAAAGTCTGCAGATTTTGCTGAGGGAATGAGGGAGATGCGAGGAATGAAGACAGTCTCTCCATTGTGATCACCACCAAGAATACATGTCTCGAGGACTCTGTCAGACATGCGAAGAAGTACCATTCGTGTCCCATTACAGAGCCCTTGGCTGGGTGCCAGGTTTCGAAGGAGAATCAGAGGACATCCAACCTTCAATGAAAGTTCGCCAGGAGGCAAACCAGCGGAATTGAGACTTCGCAGAAACTCGACCAGAAAACCATCCTGCACATCACCATCAGCCCCATCTTCATGAATGATATTGTCAGCACTGAAATAGGTCCTTTCTGCACCAGCCATTCGCCCCAACACCTCCTTGTTAATAATGTCAACATCTCCATTGCGAGGAGCGAGGATCATGCGATGTGCGAAGTAATCTGGTGGCGGAGGACCATTTGAATTATCGGAGAGCCCATTGTAAATGGAATCAATGAGTGTGCTGAGGTCGCGTGCGATCATGGTATCTGGAATGGTGACCATGCTGTCAGAATCTGAATTCCGTCCATGACCAACATCAAGCAACCACTGTGCAAAAACTTGGCTGTCTGGGTCATCATTGAGTCGCATATTTCGAGTGAGGTGGAGAATTTGCACATCTTTCCAAAGATGAGAGCGCTGAATTGTTGCACCAATGATATCTTCACGGCTTCCTCGGGGTATCACAGGAAGTATCTGCTGGAAATCACCTCCAAACACAACGGTGATGCCTCCGAATGGTTTGTTGTTGTTACGTAGGTCACGACAGGTCTGATCAACTGCCTCTGGTGCATTTTGATGCTGCATACCAGATTCATCCCAGATAATGAGATGTGTATGTTGAATAAGTTCGGCTAGAGGACCCTCTTTTGGAATATTGCAGATTGAGTCCTCATTAAGGCCATCAACGGGAATCTTGAACATCGAATGTGCAGTGCGTCCTCCTCTAAGCAGCAATGCTGCTATCCCAGATGAGGCAACACATAGCACTATTAGCCGCTCTGCTCGTATCTTGTGGCAAATGGTCTTGTAAACAAATGTTTTTCCTGTTCCACCAGGACCATTAAGAAAGAACATTGTGCCTTTTTCATGTTTGACAGATTCCCAGATGCGTGTGAAGGCTTCCTGTTGCTCTGCGTTGAGTAGGGGAATATGCTGGAGTGCTTGTCGACGCTCCTCCTGCACATCATATGACAGCTGTTCAGCGATATATGAGTTTTGATTCTCAATATGAGCACCCCAGTCATGCTGCGACAGTGGCATGGCAAAATTCCACAGTGAAGAGCCTGATTTTTCCAGCACTTGGTTTAAGAGATACAGGCCAAAGTCGTATACTTCAATGTCTGTTGGGTTGTCCCGCTGTGCAACAACCATCAGTTGATGGCGCAGGTCATCACATATATGTGCATGAAAATTATTCCACAATGTCGCAGGTTCTGTGGGCGAGCAAAAAAGCAAAATAGTTGCAAACAGCTGCCGCAGTTGTCTTCCTGGTTTGCATTGTGGCTGCCTCCTCCAGGCATTGTCTCCATTCACCGTCATTTTCCAGCAGCCCATGTGCCAGGCAAGCTTCGCGAAATGATGGGTAAGCGATGCCGTTGAATGTACGAAGGTCATCAAATGAGGTTGGGCCCTTGACCACAGTCAGAAGGGTGCGAAGATAAAACTGCTCCCCGCCAGTTGGACCAACATAGTACATGTGTCCAAGAGCGAAGCCTCGTTGACGCATGTCCCAAGTTTTTTTCGATGGTTTCCATGTAAAATGCTGGGGAAACTCCTGATATGTGTATCTCCGTGCCTCAATGCCAAGTGCACCTGCATCAGCATTTGCTGTGAAGAAAGCTGTTAATGTAGTCCGCTCATTTGCAGCTCGGTCAAGCACAGCCTGAGGGTCTTCGTCAGGATCAAATGTTACCATATGTTGCCCAGGGAGATGCACCTGCAGCCTCATGATAGGAGGCTGTTGTTTGTGGATGTGAAATTGCAGAATTCTCCATACTGACTCGGGAGCAGAAGTGTATCGGCCGTCAATGAATTGACGAATTTCATCGCGCGAGTTGATTTCCATGGTTGCATGGTCATGTCCTTTGCATATATACTTGTTGACATATTTGACTGATCCAAAGGAGACTACGCACTCGACATTGATGTGGCAGTCAAACTTAGCTGACATGAATGGATTGTACGGCACAATCCACCTGTTGTCCAATTCGTGCTGGCCAACTTTGAAGATGCGATTATCATCTGGACGGCAATAGCGAGGGTATCCTTCATGGTCGATGTTTGTCTGTGCTTGAAAGGGCTTCGGATATCCCTTGGTGCACTTTCTGTCCTCCATGCAAGGTGCATTTTGATTCAAGGCCCCACATGGACCATGGACCATACATGTCTTCACTGTTTCAAAGAGCTTCGGATTCGTCTCTGGGTCAGGCCACCGAGCCCAGATGGCCGTATCAATGTCGACAGGAGTCAACAATTTATCTGGCTGCTCGAGGAAGATGAGCATATGCATGTGTGGGAGGCCCAGCTTTTGAAACTCGATGGTGTATATGTACGCGACTGTTCGACCAAATACACCCTTCTTATACACATCGTCAACGATTGCCTGCTTCTTCATATGAAATACCCTCGCCACTAAGTCTGGGCGATCGGCAGCAGATTGACCTGGCAAAAGCTCTTGTTCTATTTCAGGCCATTTTGGGTTGCAGGTGACTGTCATAAAGATATCGATCTTCTTGAAGTAGCGTGCAAGAGCTAATCCATCTTGATAGCATTGATACATGTATCGTGGTCCTCCGGTGTATGAAGATGGTAGGATGAATCGTTGACCAAGCTCGTGGAGATCCACATTGTCATCACCAGCAGATGCGACGGAGTCCTCGAGGCCACTATATAACGAGGCCCGAAGCTTTCCTTGATTCAGGCGAAGATACGTCAGACGATTCTGATCAGAGATAGCAAATGTATCCACCAGCCATTGCTGAAAAAGTGCACTGCCTCGAAGGATGACTGAGAACTCCGTTTTGCAAGAGAATAATCAGAATGCTGCATAGCGAACTTGCGAGAGACGGTTCGGCTTCTCTTTGTCAGGTTGGTGCATTGTGAGATCCCAGTGCCATCCGTCCTCTCCATGAGGGAAAAACAGGACATAGTGAAGGCAAGCATAAGACCTGTGTCCATCGTGAATTCTCTGCAAGGGACCCGTTCATCGATGAAGCACAATATCATGGGAATCAGTGACTTGTGTGCCATCTCCAGGTACAATACCAGCAATCTCGCTGACAGTAGGCAAATTGTACCGTCGTTGATCTCGGGTGGGATCAGCAAGCAAACGAATGGCAACAGGAGAATCAGCTGGCTGCTGGGCAAGTACTTCATATGCATGACGAAATAGCGTTGAATAATGGTGGTATTGCAGGAGAATAGTCTGAAGCTTATCCATGGTGCGCCAGTTTAAATCACGGTTACGTTGCATTCGTTCATCCAGAGCTGCCCGTGGATCATAAATATACAATTGTGCATACACTGGCTGCCGACCCTCTGTAGGCATAAGATCTCCAATTCGATGGCTCAGCTCCCCATGAACACGAAACACATATGGCCCTCTACCATTGTTGACTTCGCGATCAATATTGATGCCAAGTGACGTGAATGCAAGTGCTGCATTGTACTGCCGTATGTTGGTCCGAAACTCAACGGCTTCAGGAGTGCGTGCTTCAAAAAGATTCCTGAGAGCCTCTGGAGGATCACGAAGGGCAGGAATGTGAACCTGGCCTTGATCACAGCACATTCCAAAGGCAGGATTTCGGTTTGAAGATGATGCCAAGTGCTCACTCATCCAATGGAGAGCATTACAATGGGGGCATGCAACATCCATTCTGCCTAGATCATGACGCGAGTTTGGCTCGACATATGGCCGTCGTGCGAGAGGAAGATCGGGGCGAACAGGAAGAGGAACAAACTGTTGTGGTGGAATTGTGGCAGGAAATTGCGGCGGAGCAGGTGGAACATGGTTGTGGAGATTGTCAACAGGCTCCAAGATATTTGCAGCTTGCGGCGGCAGGTCAATGTCCATCCCATCAGGGCGATGATCATGTTGGTGTGCAGGTGGGAGTTCATCAACTTCCATGGCTCCAGGAGTAGGTTCGCGTTCGCGAGCAGCCGATCCAGGTGTTCCAGTGGTTGGTGGTTGCTGAGCTTCACGTTGCTGTCGCTCACATTCGCGGCGTCTCTTTTGTCCAAGAGAACGGCGTTCAAATGCTGTGGTGGCCCGTGTCCCTTGTTCAGCCTCAGGGCTATGAGGAGCCTGTGCGAGACGTTCTGGCTGCTCGCCGACTCCTCTGTGCCTCACACTGGAGGCGTTCACGCTCGCGACGCTGACGCTGGGCCAAAGACCGCTGTTCGAACTCGGACATGGAAGGATCTCGGACTTGTACATTCTAAGGGAGTTGAATATATATATCCATTGAAAAGAAATTATATCTCACCTTTTCATGAGTGTTTCCCCTGGGGATAGCAGCGTGTTGAGTGGTGGAAAAGTTGTTGGATATGGCGCGCCGTTTGGTCTCTCGAGACGCAGGCGAGTCTGGTGGTCTTTTTGCGAGATTCAAAAGGGGCGCATGCTAAGGCAAATAAAACCCGCGGCAGAGAATGCTGAACGGATATCCTCACCTGGTTGTTGCTTGACTCGGAGTCTGAGTGACTCGACACTACGGAAGCATCATGATGGCATTTTTCAGCACCGCTGTAGTTAGATCATGTGAGTGCAACACCGCGATCACAACTTCGAATTACATACCGACGATTCTCCATCACACGTGCGTGTTGAATGTTCCGTTCAGCGCCTGCTTCAAGCGCTGGAACGCGACCAATCCGAGTGGCTTACTTAACAACACATCTTGTCTTGCAAGTTGATTAGTCATAAGTCAAGTTGTCTCAACTACACGTGACCGAGTCATTTTAGTATAGAAGATTTCGCACAAAACACTGCCGAAATTTGAAGTTATGTACCCATCTTTATGTCAGTTTAAATTTCAAATATTTTCTTTGCATTTTGTACAACATATAAACCTCTCCTAAATATTGATAACCCCGATGTGGTAGTAGCATTGAGGCGGACTATGCACGTGATGCCATGGTGATGGGGTGGCGGTGATTGGACAAGCATATTTTCAAGATCTCTAAGTATAATATTCTTTTTTTTGCGCAAACACATCAAAAAATAAGTGTGGCATGTCAGTACTGCAGTAGTGCAATAGGCACCAGCGTAGTGACACTGAGTCAATTGCATATTTAAATCATTCCACTATGTCCGGTATCGGACACAATTATCCTTCACACAGACCAAACAGTAGATCCAACGACCTGAGTGACAAAGCCGCGGGAAGCTGCTAGCATCTATAATCTCAAAACATACAAGTTATTCGTGACGAACACAATTTCTTCTTCCTTCGGACCTCTCTGCATTAGTCACATGTCTTACACCGTACCGCTAGCGCTGATCTTGACGGTCGCCGAGGTCTTGCCAGATGCACTCCCAAGCTTCTCGATAGCCTTCACGATATCCAGTCCCTCCACGACCTCACCTGGGGCACAAGTGAATTATGATCGATGTCCGTTGATGAAGATCCTCACCGAACACTACGTGAGCACCGTCGAGCCAGCTAGTGACAACGGTGGTGATGAAGAACTGCGAGCCGTTGGTGTTCTTGCCGGCGTTTGCCATGGACAGAAGTCCAGGCTTAGTGTGCTTGAGTTTGAAGTTTTCATCTGAAATATTACGATCAGATGCCGTATTCCTAACGCTACGAAGCAGGATTCTCACCAGCAAACTTCTCGCCATAGATGGACTTGCCACCAGTTCCGTTTCCCTTGGTGAAGTCGCCACCCTGAAGCATGAATTGGGGAATTACGCGATGGAAGGCAGAGCCAGCATATCCAAAACCATGTTGACCGGTACACAACTCGCGGAAATTCTTCGCGGTCTTCGGTACAACGTCATCATAGAGCTTGAAGACGATGCGCCCAGAGGATTTGTCGTTGATGGTGATGTCGAACTGTAGAGATTAGATAGATCAGATCTAAGTCCCCCTCGTCCTCGTCGCGAATATCGCCATTAAGAAACTCACGTAACAGTTAGACATGATGGATAAGAGAGAGATTGAGAGTGAAGGTTTGCGAAGGGCTGATCTGATAACAGGGATATTTCGGACGATGCCGATATGAGTTGGAGTGCATCGGTAACACGAGGCTATATTAGGAAATAGCTGGTCTGCCAAGTCTGCAGACTCCTCGAGCAGAGTCTGGGGGACAAGTCAGCCGCGATAAGCGCGACCTGCATAGGCCAGCACTTGGTCAGAAAGTTCTGGGTCAAAGGTGTCCGTTGGTTGATATCACGGGATGACGGGTAAGAGACTGCAAGGTCTAATCCATGTCGCCTAGCAACCAAGAGGGCGAAGGGCGAAGCTGAGGTGAATTGATGACTAGAACTCTGTGCACTTGCTGGACTGGGAGTAACGAGTCCATATGGTGCGATACAACATGTGAAGCGAGTTGGGATATACGTGGAAGTAGTACGACGCCTACGTGCAACCATCAATAATGTCCGTTATATATGGCGTTGAAAGTCTATGAAGGCTGAACGCAACTTCAACTGGAGGAAGCTCACAACTCAAGACTAATATTCTTGGCTTGAACTTGGGAGTTATCTGCGTGCTTACGCCGACAGACGCTTCGGCTGGTCATCTCGTCGAATAGATGGGCCACGCTGGACTGAAAGTGAAACAGTCGAGCTGAGTTCGATACCCATACCCGCCTTAGATTCTCATCGGACCGTGGCAGAACCCAATTTGCTTGCTCTCGAGACTCTAAGATAAAATGCAAATGAGGCGAGATGCCCAATCCACTTGAAGATTCTCGACTCTTTTGCATTTGATCAACCGATTCTCGGCATAACATGTCACTCGTCCTGCGACGCGGGTGATGTGAGCCAGACAGGTGACGAGGTATATCGACGGGCTCACGTATGGGTTGGTTGGAGGCGTGGAAATCCATGTCGACAACGCTAACGTGAAATACTTACCGCGGTCCGCTTGAGATCATCATGTGTTACGACTTGCAACGCGTCTACATGGAAAACGAAGTATTGGCGAGCATAAATGTCAAGGTACGAGTTGTACGACGTGATTTGGCCGGTCCCAAACGCAGTTCTATAATGTTGGAAAACTCCCTTACTATATATTAGCTTTGCAATTAATGCTTCCCAAGGGGACACACCTTGGACACGTCAGCGAGTTCGTCGTGCGCAACGTGGCCGACTTTGCGAGGAAAGCTTAGTGGAAGAGGCATGGACAGGCGGACTGTGTCGGACCGGCGCGTGACCGCGGGAAACGTTGTGTTTTGTCTACGTGTCCTTTTTGCTTTGACACGTTTGTTTCGGTGAATAAATAGGGCTCGAGGCGAACCAACTCTGAACTCAAACCACTCTTGAATCACAGCGATGATTGGCCCTCACCGCCGTCCATGTCGCGCTAAGTCACGGCGCATGGCTTCCTCTCTGTCCCTACTTCTCCTTGCGTTCTTTGCTATAATATGTTTATGCCCCGTTGCCACAGCGCAAGACAGTTCAAAGAACAGCGAGTATGGCACTGTCATTGGAATTGGTAAGTCTCGATAGAGAGTGTGGTTTGCTTTATCATTAATGTCCTATACACAGACTTGGGAACAACGTATGCACGACTAACCAGCTTCGTTATTATTGACCACTAATAATTTTTTATTCAGTTATTCATGTGTTGGTGTTCAACGCGGTGGTCGTGTCGAAATTATTGCCAACGACCAGGGTCATCGTATAACACCTTCGTGGGTTGGCTTCACAGATGACGAGCGGCTGTAAGTCTTTGTAGCCAGAATCGAAATCGATGCTAATGTATTCCTTTTACAGTGTCGGCGACAGCGCCAAGAACGCATTCCACTCTAACCCTACCAATACTGTCTTCGATGCCAAACGTCTGATTGGCCGCAAGATGGATGATCTTGAACTCAAGCGGGACATGAAGCACTGGTGAGTGTTGCCGTAACTCTTGCGCATGCAATAATACTCACACCTACTCAGGCCCTTCTCCGTTGTCGACAAGGGTGGTAAACCCGCTATCTCGATAGCCTACAAGGGCGAGACGCGCCAATTTGTGAGTCTTAGAGATCATATATCTGAAGGCGGTTCAGTACTGATGGCTTTCTTCAGACACCAGAGGAGATTAGCGCTATGATCCTGACAAAGATGAAGGAGACTGCCGAGGCTTACCTTGGCGAGACGGTCACTCACGCAGTTGTCACTGTCCCAGCATGTAAGCCGATCCCCCCGATCTTACCTTCTGTTACTAATTGAGCCCTCATGAAGACTTCAATGATGCACAGCGTCAAGCTACCAAGGACGCCGGTACAATTGCTGGACTGCAGGTTCTTCGTATCATCAACGAGCCCACTGCTGCCGCTATCGCTTACGGTCTCAACAAGAAGGGTGGCGAGTCGCAAATCATTGTGTATGACCTTGGCGGTGGAACTTTTGATGTCTCCCTGCTTTCGATTGACGATGGTGTCTTCGAGGTCTTGGCAACTGCAGGCGACACCCACCTTGGTGGTGAGGACTTTGACAACCGCGTTATTGACTACTTGGTCAAACAATACAAGAAGAAGACTGGAACAGATGTCACCACCAACCTCCGTGCCATGGGCAAGCTCAAGCGTGAGGTCGAAAAGGCCAAGCGTACTCTCTCTAGTCAGCAGTCTACTCGCATTGAAATCGAGTCATTCGAGGATGGCAATGACTTCTCGGAGACGCTTACTCGTGCCAAGTTCGAGGAGCTCAACATGGACTTGTTCCGTAAGACTATGAAGCCTGTCGAGCAAGTGCTCAAGGATGCCAAAGTCAACAAGGAAAACATCGACGAGGTGCGATCGTTTAATATTCGTCTCATTCAATCTGTCTGATATACTGTTGCAGGTTGTCCTTGTTGGTGGTTCGACCCGTATTCCCAAGGTTCAACAACTCCTGAAGGAATACTTCGGCAAAGAACCATCAAAGGGTATCAACCCCGATGAGGCTGTTGCTTACGGTGCCGCTGTCCAGGGTGGTATCCTCTCTGGTGAGGAGGGCACTGAGGATGTTGTGTTGGTCGATGTCTGCCCCTTGACCCTTGGAATTGAGACTACCGGGGGTGTTTTCACTAAGCTTATTCCTCGCAACACTGTCATTCCTACGCGCAAATCGCAGATGTAAGTGTCCCTGTTGCTGCGATGCGGACCAACATACTGACAGATCTACAGCTTCTCCACTGCTGCTGACAACCAGCCCACTGTCCTGATCCAGGTCTTCGAGGGTGAGCGTTCGCTGACCAAGGACAACAACCTCCTCGGCAAGTTTGAGCTTTCGAGTATTCCCCCTGCCCCTCGTGGTGTTCCTCAAATTGAGGTCACATTTGAGATTGATGCCAACGGTATCATGAAGGTCGGAGCTGCCGACAAGGGAACGTGAGTCAACGCCCCATCGCTCAGCGGTACAGCATGCTGACTGTTTGTCTTAGTGGTAAATCTGAGTCCATCACCATTACCAACGAGAAGGGTCGTCTCTCCAAGGAGGACATTGAGCGCATGGTCCGTGAGGCGGAAGATTTCGCCTCAGAGGACGAAGCCAACCGCAAGCGCATTGAGTCCCTCAACGCCCTCTCCACCTTCGTCTACGGCCTCAAGTCACAACTCGGCGACCAATCCGGTCTCGGCGGCAAGATCAGCGATGACGACAAGAAGACCATCCTGGCTGCCATCAAGGAAGCCACGGAGTGGATCGATGACAATGGCCAGAGCGCTACCACTGAGGAGTTTGAGGAGAAGTTGTCGGAAATCCAGAGCGTCGTCAGCCCCATCACGAGCAAGCTCTACAGTGGAGGTGGGAGCGAGCCTGAGGATGATACTTATTATGATCACGATGAGCTGTGAGGCGGCACGGGATGGGCGTGGATGGTCCCGACAAAAGTTGTATGTCAGTATTGGTAGCATAGAGTCACCTATTTCAATGGACGTATTCCAAACGACTTATTTTGTCTTGCACGAGGACTCTGTAAATTATGGTTGGCCAGCTCAACTTGTCATGAGATGGGCTACGTAAGTTGCTTGTAAGAATAACTTAGTCTGGACTATTTATCAATCTCGCCCGCCGTGGGCCTACAGAACGGTTCTTAGCTTCTATCCACAATGTTTATCTATCATTCATCAGAACAACATTGGAGTCTCTACGTTGTCCACCGCCCATCACGTTGTTCGCCGCCTCCGCCTTTGATACTTCCTGCCAATTGTATGTAGCAGACAGAAGGCGGAACTTTCCGACCAGGCGCTGGCCAGCCTGGTCTGTGCACACTTGGGTTGCGCTGGCAGTCTTGTCCCCCAGACGCTGCTTCGAGCGAGGAGTCTGCGCAGGCCTATTGATATCCTAGTACCGTACACAATGTCCTGTTGTTAATCGGTGTTGCTGATTGCCAATTCGCACTCGGCATCGTCCGAAATATCCCCTTTATCAGATCGCAAACCTTCACTCTCAATCTCTCTCTTATCCATCATGTCTAACTGTTACGTGAGTTTCGACATTCGCGACGAGGGAGACTCATATCTGATCTATTTAATGGTTATAGTTCGACATCACCATCAACGACAAACCCGCTGGGCGCATTGTCTTCAAGCTCTATGATAACGTTGTACCGAGGACCGCGAAGAACTTCCGCGAATTGTGTACCGGTCAACATGGTTTTGGATATGCTGGCTCTGCCTTCCATCGTGTCATTCCCGGCTTCATGTTGCAGGGTGGTGACTTCACCAGGGGAAATGGAACTGGTGGCAAGTCCATCTATGGCGAGAAGTTTGCTGGTGAGAGTCCCGCGTAGTAGCATTAGGAGACTCATCTGATCGTGATATTTCAGATGAAAACTTCGAGCTCAAGCACACTAAGCCTGGAATGTTGTCTATGGCAAACGCCGGCAAGAATACTAACGGCTCGCAGTTCTTCATCACCACCGTTGTCACTAGCTGGCTCGACGGTGCTCACGTAGTGTTTCGGTGAGGATCATCATCAATGGACATCGATCATAACTAACTTTTTTCTCAGGTGAGGTCGTTGAGAACATGGACCTCGTGAAGCAGATCGAGAGCTATGGGAGTGCATCTGGCTCGACTAAGGTTCGCGTCGTGATCGCCGCCAGCGGTACGCTCTAAGACAGAGAAGTCCGAAGCAAGAAGACACCTTTATTCGTAACGAATAACTTGTATGTTTTATTATAAATACTAGCAGCTTCCCGTGGCCTCGCCACTCAGGTCGTTGGATCTACTCTTTGGTCCGTGTGAAGGATAATTGTGTCACGTCCGATAAAAAGTGGAAACATATGACACAACATCATATCAACCTCGTTACACTGATGGTTTAGAAATCAAGAGAACGGAAATTTCAACTCCAAACATGCTGTAGCCAATTAATTAACTCATGCTGTAGCGGAACTTTCCTCCACGATGCTTGTTTGGGGCGAGAACAAAGCGAGAAGTCGAACTTTATCGATGTTGTTCTTTGATCCGCGGCGTTGCTTTATTAGAGATTCGGAACATTGTTCCTGCAGATTTGAAGCATCAAACTCACGGATCCGTAGGTGGGGTAGTTTGATTTGAGCCTTTCTTTCCAATTTGCGCTTTACATCAACTCGCGTGTGAGATGTATTAGCTCGCGCAGAGTTGCTCATCAAAATGAAATGCCAACATTGGACAATGTAAGAAGCACATAGTGAACGAATTTTCCTCGTTCCTGCATTGTGATAAATTACATAAGTGATTTACGAGTCCTATCTTATGAGGAGGCAATAATCCATGCATACTAATCCATCATACTGACGAGAAAGAATTCATTTCCATCGACACCGCAATCGGCCGCTGTGGTAAAGGGTGTCATTCAGTCCATCTCCATTATATAATTAATGCAACTACCGACCATAGGTGCCTGAATGGGTCGAGTGAGATGCAGCACTTCATTGTCGGTTTGTTTGAGTATATTCTTCCGACGTGCAGAGAAGCTCTCGTCTTGCGACACCCTACCGCTCAGCTCCGGGCGGTAGCGGTTATAGAGTTCGGAAGAATCAGTATTTTCTGAGACTGCTGCGTCGGCCTTTAGATAGTATGGGGCGTTCAGGACTGCGATGTACGAGTTGACGTATACTGTAAAAAGGTACCAAGCACTGGTTAGCACCATTCTGAGAGAATGCTTTAGCCGTACATTTCGCCACCCAAAATTCAATGCTGAGGAATATGAAGTTCGTCGGCATCACAGCAAACTGTAGGAGACCCTCAGAGACGAGATGGCAATTACAAAAATTGGAACCTCACTGTAATGATTGTTGTCAATGAAAATACACTGTACGAAAGATAAGTCAAAGTAGGAAGAGGGTGGAAGAGGAATACCTCGTCAAGCAGCCGGTACTAATGGTGTAAAGCATGAGCCTTGTCACGAGGGAATCGGTGCTAGGTACTCCAAGTAAGTATCTCAAATCCCGACAGGGAAAGGACCGCTTCTTACCCAGAGAACCCTGTACGAGAGGTTGCGAGGAGATAGCATAGCGATGATGCAATTAGGATATCGAGAAAACTAATTGTGCCCAATGTCGAGTATATCGCCCAGTTGTACTTATTTAAATCTGAGAACAATGGGCTCTGGTATCTGCTCACTATCAGCACTTTGTAGAGTTGCGGGGTACGCTGGTTCGCTCACGTTGCCCAAATAAGAGCTGTGATTGGGTGAAATTGATGAGTAAACAACAAAAGTAACATGCGAGCCGTCCTCACTGATGGCGACACCTGAAACCATTTTCAATATTCGGTGAAGAGCATTTGCAAGCGGCAAACTTACCTGAACATAGGGCTACGATTGTGCCCTAATATCGACGGAATGAAATGGCATATTACGTGAATATCTGTGCGCACCCACCACTGTTATAGGGAGAACTTTTGATCGGCCCCTGTTGACTATGTTCATCATGTTAGTCATGGAAAATGCATTGGTAGGGGAACAAATACCTATCCATATGCGATGGACATACAGACTACGAACCAAAGAAGCATTACGGGGATGTTGCATAAAAGTGTGCACATCGAACTTACAAATGTACCCCCCAAATGATTATCACCTGTGGAGTGCATCTGAGAAACGGATCACAGAGTGTAAGGGTTACAACTCACGTCGAATGGGATCTGAAGCTGCACGAGTCCATTAATAAGAGGCTACTCGGAAGGCAGAAGTAGGAGCTCACTTGGGCACTCCACACAACTACTGGGAGCGCGAGGATGTTTGCGAAGTTAATGACCAAATAATAATAGTTGCCATGGACGATCAATGCCAAGTGCACTGCATCGAGTATCCTGGGTACAATGCATAATCTCGACATGCTCGATAATTGCAACTCGAAGTGACACCTACCAAAGAATAATGACCTGAAACGGCTTCACTGAGAATAGAACTGAGAAGAAGATAGCATAGACGTACGGCCCACTTATACATTGTCATCCCTGTGCCTCTATGTGTCTGAAAGTATATGAAAGCTTGAATGGTTGTCACACCAAATAGACTGATCCGTGAGATGTTACGACAGGGAATGCTTAGCTTTGTCTGCATACTAGTGAGAAAACAGTGGACTAACGCTGTTGCAAAGATGGTCCCGATAAAAAGTGCCCCAAACGTGTCCCCCAGGTCAATTTGTGGGAATAAAGAAGACATTGCTGCTAAGACAATTCAGCAATGCAGTAATTTCGTCGTACTATATATTCCTCGGCGATGCTGTAGAGCTATATAGCCTATGGTGCATGACCTTCCAAAAGGGCGGCCTTTTGATGCATCATAGTTTCTGATGGCCTCAGGGCTGATAGGGGGGATACATCCATATGGTGAGGCATAGCCCCGTGTGACGGACAGTAAAACAGGATTGATATCGGGAATGTCCCCTTAAATGTGGTTCTATAGTTCGACTGGATCGCCTGCGTACCGTATGATATGTTAGATGCAAAGTTACTGAAAGAACTTGCCTAGAGTCCTGACCCAGCAAAGCGAAGGAAGTGCAGGACTCAGGAGTTTGTGGGAAAGGCATCAATCGCTGCAATTAATTGCCTGATGTGGCGTTTCGAATCTTATTTGTGGACATGAGTCATCGAGGCTGTTCAAAATGATTATATAGTATATCTCAGTATATCTCGGGGAAATCATGATGGCGGACCTAAAATGTTTCAGGAAACATTCAAACTGTGCGAATGATTCTGACGCCCCCAGGCCCCTGTGAGGTCACCACAGGTTTCTTATGACATCGAGCTCAGCCTGAACTGATGAAGCATGATGGACCGAGCGCGGGCATTGCTTTGGTACCTTATGTGTTGTGTTTGTTGTTGGAAGTGGACGGAGGGTCAACATGTAACTTAGATACGTGCGTGCCAAAGGGCCCATCACTGTGATCGGAGAGGTGAGTGCGCGCGCGTTCTGATGTTTGGTATAGTTGTGGGGGAGTGACGCCTATGGGTGGGATTCAGATGGAAGTGGTCGATGCACACCGTGACTGTGCGCAAATATGCAACTCAAAGGTGATCTATTGTTGTGGGCGAACCGCAAGACGCGGAACACGATGTAGCGCTGGTAATCTGACTAGAGAATTTTTATTGGTGCACAGGATTATCGATGAGGCTCTTACATTGATGAGGCTGCATATGTTGGGCGGGTGGCGTTAGGGTGTGTTGGGAGACTGTTGGGAGACAACATATCGCTGTCTTTGTCAATTTTTTTGCTGTTCCTTTCGTCCTTGCGATCTTATAACACCCCTATGTATTCATTGTACATTAAAATTTTCGACATCTTGTATTACACGACTCACATCCTAATTCACGAACACGCCTCTGATTCTGATTACTCGAAGAATGATAACTAATTGTGGAATGAAAGAGGATGGATACAAAGGGTAGGGCGACGGGTGCAAAGCGCTTTGTTTGCGACCCCTACAGCAACGAGCTTTTGAGTTCGATAGAAAGAACAAAAAGACACCACTATGACCGTCTTCTATTACATGCAATGCAAAAATGATATCCTGTGCCTCCTTCAGATGGCGATGTTGACGGATGAAAAAAAAAAGAGAACGAGAGAGAAAGAGCTAGATCATGTGCACGGAATGAGATGTGAATAGGGAGGTGGGGTGCCACGGGTGTCTATGCAGTCGCGCGTTTGATCATCTGAACGGGGTCGTCATCAGTATTTATTGGAGAACGAGATGAGAGCACTCACTTCCCGAGCCCACCGCAGCGTCTTCTTCGTCTCTTGCTGCATACCGCGCTTACTGCGGAACTCTTGAGCGATCCATTCGTCGAGCAGGTGCTCTTTGATCTGGCCGTTGGGGAAGCAGTCTGCGAGATCACCGATAAGACCGAAAGAAAGCTTCACGACGGAGTCGGATCTCTCGTCATCGGCTAGACATTGGTGAACGAGCTCGAGGATGCTGGGGACGTGAGGGAGTAGTGCAGGTGCTAGGAACGATCATGAGTGTGAAGATGAGTCGTGTACGAATATGCAAACCTTTATCAGTATTCTTGAACCCAGTGACAACGCCAGTGTATGCTTCTAGGATTCCTTCCCGTAGTTGTGCGACGTAATCCATGAGATCGAAGTCGAGCTAACAAGCGCCAGTCACCTCTAATGCAGGCTCAGAAATCACAAACCAGCTTACAGGGTTAGGTTGCACAGAGCCCGCTTGTCTCAGCACATCCATAGTCGTATTCAAATACGGATCAAAAGCGGGTCCGATAGCGAGCGCGATATCGCCAAAGCACGATAGTATTGAGATCTTGACGTTCCGGTTAAGAACGTTGCTCTGCAGGTTCTCGAGTAATACGTTCATGAACGCGCCCGCGTACTGAGCGCTCTGATCGCCAAGTGCACGCGAGATGTCCCCGATGATGCCTACAGCAACCATGCACAGCTGGGTATCTTCGTGCGCTTTAAGGGCAGGATACAGGAATGGCAGGAATGCTTGAATATATGGTGCGAAGCCCGCTTCCAGCGCTGGTGAAGGTCCTCAATCTTTGGGCGGACATAATGGAAGGGGAAACGTACCGGCAGCTAGAGATCCAACAACCAGGAAAGCGTCTTCAAGCACAGTTGACGTCTTTCCTGCTCCTTGGATAAGCTGGAGGATGAGGGTCATGATACGATCTGCCATGGGTTGAATGCCTCCCCCGAGCCTCCGAATGACGCTCTGTAGATGTATATGAGCTACAATGCCAACAACAGGAACCCGATAGCTTACGATGACGACACTGCAGAGATTGCTCTGTAGTTCATTCCAGTTATTACGGTCGTCGACACCGACGATCTGGTTCTAAAAATAGATGTGAAATGCAACCGAAAGTGACGCGGTGAGAAAACATACCTGCATATTCAGAAGTTGCTCCATTCTCTGCAAAATAGCAATGACGGTGTTTTGTACAACAGGGATACAGTCAGTAGTAGAGTGGGAGACATATGAAGTTATAGCTTCATATGCGGAAGTTCGGAAGTTCGCTTCGTTTGCGGTGCTGTAAAACAACATTAGGGCGCAGGTCACGTTAAAATGAATGGACTGACGTCTCCGTAACCCTCAGAAGAGCGCTTACTATGCCCTCAAAATATGGCGAAAGCGGACTCTCAGGAGCGGAGGTGATATATTCGTCAAGGTAAATGCCGATTTGATCAGCGAGGTTCATGAGAGCCCAACAACAATTGGTGATGATACGCGGGCGATCAACGAGACCGTTGACGAGCGCCGATACAAGAGGATGGAGATGCACATCAGGCTTGATCGTTACTATTAGTAGATCGCAGATTCGCCCGAGCGTCCACGCTGTTGTATCTTTAACATGGAGATTCTCATCATTCATCATGCCGATCAAAAGAGGAAGTGCCTGGTTGACGAGAGGGGTGAGAACTTGTGGATCAGGACCGTCGAGGATAGAGCCGAATGTCATCACGGCTGCCTCGCGTTGGTGCCAGTCTTGAGCCTTGATGTGCGCCTCGATGAAGGGGATGACAGCGGGCACGATCGCATCTGCGACGGCCTGAGCCATGTAGTTGAGGCAAGTGCCAGCACTCATAGCAAGGTTCCATTCGCCCTCATCAGCGTCTTCGTCTTGTTGCGTCAGGAGGTTCAGGAGGACCGGAATAACTTCCGGCAGAGCAACCTTGGCAAAGTGCTTGGACTCGAGTTCGGGTGGCTCGTCGTATTCAGCTGCCTGACGGAACATCGCGATTGGTTTCAATAGCGAATATGCATGCGGCGTACCTCTCGTGCCTCATGGGCAAGCTCAATCTCTTCCTCACACACTGTGGTCCAAAATTCTACAGCTTGCAACGCGACTCGTTCATCCGAATGCTTCATGCCCATGACCGTAAGCTGAAAAGTATATTTATCAGGAAGACTCGCGGTAGAATAAACAGGTGGTCGTACGCCGAACAAGGCTTGTTCCATATAAAACGCCATCTTGTCATAGTACAGTGCCATGATCTTCACCAAACACTCGAAAGCGCCGACTTGAACTGATACCGAGGGGTTCTGAGTAGCTTCGCAAACGACTTGCATAATGTAGTTTCGTTCTCCCTGATGTGCATTAGCAATTAGAACCAAAGAAACGAGGGATATATTACTTCTCGGTCGAAATTGTCCCGTACGAACTCCAAAGAATTAAACAGCGCGTGCACTGCAGCCAGCTGGACTTCCGAGGATGGCTCCTCCTTGCGAGCGCCATGAATAACAGCCGTCAAAATTTCGTTTGACCTCAAAGCCAACACCTCCGGTTTCTGTAGTACTAGATGAGTGAAGACTGGTCGAGTGGCACAAAGTCAACGTACTATAGTTTCGCAGATGTAACCAATAGCCTGCAGGGTGGCGATCTTCAAATTGGTGTCATCGGACGTGTTGATGAAACCGAGGAGAATTTCAATGAGATCCGGCCATTGGCCGACGGGCAATTCTACCGCTGCGATCGCGGAAACAACCTGGGCGGCGACTGCGCCTGCCCTTGGTTGAGGAGAAGCAAGAGTTAAGAGAGAGGCCTCCTTGATCTTCTGCCTGGCATCGACATCGAGGGCCATCCATCTTGCGGAATACTCATCTTGCCTTGTGGAATCCTACATAGGATGAATGAAGGGATGACAGGTAAGGAGGGACGCGTTTACGTACGCGGGCAGAAAGGGCATTTTTGAGGGCAAGACCAGCAGCATTACGAGTATGGATTTGAGAGGTCTCATTGCGTAGCTCATCTGACAACATCAGCATGTACGCCGGCTGTAGACGGTCTGAGCATGCTTAAGGTAAAGGAACGAAAGGTTGATTGTACGCACATAATTCTCCCTAGAAGCACTCTCGAGTTGCTGAGTGGCATTTTGACGCGTTTCAGTGTCTGTCAAAGGTAGCTGATGGGTTAGGACGAGTAGATTTAAAAGAGAAAAGAGGCTTACCAGGAGATAGGGTATTAGCAAGGAGTGCGCTGGCGTTCATGATGATTTCAGAATCGTTTCAGCGTGACAGTCGTTGATATAAAACGAAAAAGAGAGATGGGTACAAGAAGAAAGATCAGCAGCTGGCGTTGGTGAGGAGAGTAGCAAACAGATAAAACGGGTTTGGATCGAGAGACGTAGACGATGAAGAAACCCTTGTAACAAACAAGCGCGGGTTTTCAATTTTTAGTGTTTTCTACTGCCAACAGCCTGCAACAGCCTTGCAGGTGCTCTTTCACTACAATCTAATTAATGGCAGATCGCGTATGATTCACTTAATAATTTTATCTTCAAATAATCTCATTCATAGCAGGGTCGTGCTCCAGCAAGAGGTGGTCGAGGTGGTCCCCCACCTCGAGGTCGCCCTATTCCACCTTCTTCTGATGTAAAGTGAGTCACACTAGGACCCTATATGAGTGGCTCCTCATGTTGGAAAGACTCAAGTAAAGGCAAGCGGGAGGCCATCCTCGACCTCTCCAAGTACGTCAACGAGAGAATACGGGTCAAATTTACTGGTGGTCGAGAAGGTTAGCCAATCGATCCTCCTCGATCATCGTCTGATCAGAACATTTTTTCAGTGACTGGAATCCTGAAGGGGTATGATCAACTACTCAATCTCGTCCTTGACGACGTAGAGGAACAGATTAATGGTATTCCATCAGGACTCCCAATCACAGTACACACCACTAACAGTCGACCCGTAGAGCCAGAACCTCAAACCCGTACATTGAACCTTGTAGTCCTTCGAGGACCCACCATCACTCTCCTCAGTCCCGTCGATGGCTCAGAAGAGATTGCAAACCCCTTTGTCGCTCAGGAGTAGATGGTACCATTCCTCTTCAGTTGTCCGATGTATCCCTCTACTGTTTGTAAAACTATGGTGACCTGACTACATTCCGAGAGCAAATTTGCAAATAGGAGATGATCCTGTACTAAGTTATCGGTGAAAGCAAGAACTATGTAAGCACGTGTATGTAGCATGTCACCTATCGCAAAGCACCATTAGGTGTCAGATCCACCGTCGCAGGGTCTGCACGAATGCGTCTAAGGCGAGGGGCAATCATCTTGAAAGTATTGTATCGTGGAAACTCATCGATCGCATGCTGGTGCAGCAGAGTTGGTGAAGGAGACGGCGAGCAACTTCCGGATATTGGCGAAGATGATTCACTGCTAGACCCGCATACAATGCCCATGCGTGCGTGCATGCTGGTGCGCAGCGGCGAATGCGGTGGCGAGGGCGGAAGATGCCGTGGCATAAGTTGGACACGGGAGGTTATCGTAGTAGTCGAGGGGGTATGTGAGTGCGAGTGCGAGAACGGCGCTTGAGGAAGCGGCGAGGATGAACTGTCTCTAGAGATATCGATTGTAGCAGTGTTGTTAGTGGTTTGATCAAGATAGCTTCGCATGTAAAATGGCACATTAGATGACAAGTGAGATGGCGCAGGTGCCGGTAAGGGGTATGTGGGAAAGCGTGGCTGCGTGCCCGTGGTTTCATAGAATACAGTATTTGTCGAAGCAGACGTGTCTGGATGCAAGCGGGGAGATTGTGAGGTAGATATCGACGGTCCAAATGTAGGAGTATATGCAATGGGTATGGCGGTGGGCCAGGAAAAACGATTAGACTTGCCGTTTGGAGGGCCAGATTGTGAACGACGAAGGAGCTCAGCTTTGTAGGCAATTAGGGTGGCCTCGTTTGCAGCCGGTTGAACAGCATTGTTGTCACTAGGACGTGAAGATCTCGAGGGCACTCTGCCTCGGATGCTAGGTCCAATAGCAAACGATGCAGGTTCGATAAATGACGTGGATGCCAAGGGAGTTGCACGTGATCCTTCCGTAAAGGACTGGACAGATTGCACTTCATCGGATTCGGTAGCATCCGATCGACGCTCTTCATCGCTAAGGAGATCAAAACGTTCAGGAGATGATGCTGTCTTCCCAGTCTCCCGCGCCATTGTCGAAGACGTTGCCAATGCAAGGCCTTGGTCAAGCTGGTCTTCAAATATGGCGTGGTGGGCAGGTGGAGCCTCTGGTGGGGGCGGGCTAGTCCACTGGGTCCTTTTGGGTGCCATGTGCTCGGGTGGGGTGCGAGACGGAACGCAATTATCGCCTGAATGTCGATTTTCAGGCTCAAAGAACTCAGTTTGGGGCGAAAGGCGCTCAGCGGGTACACCTTTGGGTCTCATAGAGTTGCTACCAACTGTGTATGGTGTCTGGGGAGGAAATGAGAGGCGAGGCGGGACGAAGACAGATGGAGGTGACGTCGTTTGTGGGTCTTCAGTCTTTTCTTCACACAGTTGAGCAAGTGCGACAAGGGCACGAGGGCGCATCGCGAGGATCCTGGATGCGCGCATGAATTCTCCGCGTATCTACCGTCTTCGATGAGTAAGGTCACCATCAACTGAAAGCTAATGTACCTGGTAAAGCCCTTCTTTTGTTACACATCGGGCAACGTTGAAGTCGATCTCAAACGGATCCTGTTATTCGGATAACTCGTGACCAGCCGAACAACGATTCATTACTGTTCACGTACCTCTATACAAAACCGATTTCGCTCCCTGGAGTCATTATATCGGCTGCCTGCCAGCTGCACAGCCCATCAACACGTAAAAGTACGGAAGGGATGCTGGCTACTTGCCTCGTTTTGCCATCCCTTGCTCTCCTTCTTCAATAAACCTGCTCTAATGGAAGCAACGCCTGTATTGTAGGTAAAATCACGAGAATAATATCGGAAGAAGTCAATCAGCCTGTTGGAAACTCAATTCAAACTCAAGGCCACGAAGCGAACGAACAATAACTCACAAATCAGCCACGCTGTCGGTATTAGATGATTGCCATCGTTGGCGTAGAAGTTCTATATCGTCAAAAAACCTACGACATTGCGTTAGCAATGCCTCGCAGTTGACGATAGCCAAGACCGACCAAGTATTATGCCCCCCAATATGGGTGTCCTCCTGAAAGCAATCAAGGTTAGAACGAAAATTTGTGAGAATGAGTCCGCATACCTGAGAGATCGGTCGTAGAGGAGGCATTTGCTGTAAATTTGGTAGTACAGGCGGATTCTTCACATGTATGAGGAAATATATGACCAGTAAAACGTAACCGTAGGACGATAGTGTCCCCTGGTACGGAGAATTGATGTTTCTGCTCAAGCAATGAGAATATGCAAAAGCGCCAGATAACATGTGATCCCTACCTCCGCTTGCTCCATACTTTGACTATCAGACAGCCGTTAAATATCGAAGAATGTTGATAATCCGTGATTGAACTCACGGAAGAGAACTAGAGTCCGCACACGTGTGGGATCGATCATAGCATAGCACATGAGCAACCTTGTGTTCTCCAGAGCGAGTCTATTCTCGAAGCCGATATCGCAAGCGATACCAAGTGGTAATCCAGGAGATGGATCTAGGGAGAGCTTGACGATCGGTATTCGTGCATGAGGTAGAGGTTTGACGTGGAACTTGGTTTCTGCATCACGGTAAATGAACGTCGACACGTATTTCCAATGCCAACTGACCGCGTTCTAGGAGGTCACCAAGCATCGTAACCATGTCTGATGCAGAGAGTCGCTCGGCGGAATCGATTAGGCAGCAGAGATCCATATCTGTGTCAAAATATAGCTCTTATGAGCAATAGATAAACCATTCCAAGGCTCACCTGAGTTGCGAAGGCTAAAGCCATTTGCCGTGCTTCCGAACGATAGCAGTCGGCTGTCAGGTTCGATTGTGCGAATCAACCTCTCAAGGAGTTTCCTGACATCTTCCTTTACAGCCATTTCTTCTTGGGTTGGAAGAAGTCGGATGACGAAGTCGAAAAGAGCTTGTGACATTTCAACCACGAAGAAACGGTGCTTGGAAGCATGTCTCCGCTGTGCATGATAGGGACCAGACTGGACACTGGATGTACTCTGCGCCATGCTAGAAACCGAAAGCTGGAAGCTTGTGGAACTGCTTTGGTGGGCGACAGAGACAAGCCCTTGTGCGCCTGGGGAGATGGGAAAGGCTTCCACAACAATTGACCTTCAGAAACGTGATGGTCAACTTGTTAGCAACTTTCCAAAGGGTCTGCCCAAATGAGGAAGCCAACTTCAATTCTCAGCATCCGGGTCAGTTAAACTTGGACACGGAAAATATTATAATGGTTGTGGCAGTTCAATGCTAGCGGACGGCATATGGTAAGTCTTATCTAGTGGGATAGGACATATGGTAATGATCAACCGGGCACAACTGAAGCCGACAGGGGCATCATCCCCATGTCATGCAGTTTCTTCGATCCTCAGAAGTATTTTCTTCCCATACATCCCTCGGCCTAAGCGTGCTACAAGGTCACGAATCGTTTCAGACGCATTGGCATCACTGTCCATCCCCCCAATCGTCAAAATCTCATGGTCAGGGCCCTGAAGCTGGATACCCGAGGTGAGATGGATCAGTGAGAAAAATCATCATGTCCGTACCTTCCCATCTCGCATGAGGGTAGTCAGCGTTTCAAGCAGTTCCTGGCGTTCTTCTATGGATTTGCCGTTATACCAACGAGTTTGCCAGAACCCGTGACAAGTAAGGTTCTTGAAAATAAAGAGCGACGTTGGAAGCGAAAGAGGTTCCTTGGACATCGCCCCGTATGACACAAGATGCGCGTTGTTACCGAGTAGTCGAGCCATGAGGGTGGTCGTTTTGCCGCCAACACAGTTGAGACCAAGGCGGATACCCTGAAACTACTCAGGTTGTCGAACAGGAAGATGAACAATGCGATACCTTGCCTCCAGTCCACGTTTTGACCTTCTCTCTCAAGGATTTGTCAGAGAGTTCGTCATATGTCACAACGTGCGTTGCACCCAGTGATTCCAGATGTTTTTTCAGCGATTCAACATCCTCACTTTGGCTGAATGAGACAAGCACATATGTGTGGTAAATATCACCCACCGGTCGCGAATAAAGTTGATAGTCTTGTACCCCTTGGCAGCTGCGATTTGGATCACAGCTTGACCGACCTGAGAAACAGACTACGGTAAGGATTGCCGCCAGCGCACAAATGTAACCCCATACATACGGCGCTATTCGCACCATTTTGCACAATCCAGTCTCCTTCTACAAGTTGGGCAAAGTCGTGCAGCATGTTGTAAGCTGTTGAGGGGTTGACCTTCACCACCGTCAGTATTGAAGCAATAAATGTACTTGGTTGAGACATACGGTAATCGTAGCAGCCTGGGCCTCTGACAAACCCTGCTTGGGAACCTTTATGACATCTGACGGGGATACATTCTTCGCCGACGACCACGTTCCGCTCTGAGCCTTGGACATAACGACCCAATCACCCTTTTGCAGACCGACCACACCCTCCCCGATATGAATCACTCTGCCCAGGCCCTCATTCCCCCCCACGAATAGTGGATGATCCTTGACCTGGGAGAGGGAGGTATCAGGCTCTGGCTTCGCGGGGTAAACGCCCTCAATAACATTGAGGTCCGCTGGATTGATGGGTGCGAGTAGAAGCCTTATGTTTAAGGTGTTTGGAGGTGGAGGTGGGAGATCAGGGAAGGAGAATGCGGACAGGACGCGGGCTGGGTCACCATTGGTATTGTAGACTATAGCTCGATTACCTGGCAACACCGACGACGTGGAGAAAGCATTGCTCGGCAGGTTATTTTGTAGTCGGCATGCATGTTGCAGCTGCGGCCGTTGCCAATGTGCAAGTGCTCTAGCACAAGAGTGAGCTAAACTCATTTGTAACTGTAAGTTGACCGTAAGGGTGATTTTCCCTCGGTCGGAGTTGCGGGTAGTGAGAACACGGCAGCTGAATACGGCAAACCACAGTGCTCATCGTCGTCGGGAACAGAGATGAAAACTATCAACGTAGTAAAATACCATGATATTGAAATCAGAATTTTTTGTATTTTTTGCGTCTTTTTCAGATTCTACCTATTTTTGCATGTTAAGATTTGATCATCATCGCGATGCCCGGGCTAGATCACTGCATAAATGTTAGACACATAGGAGCGAGACACGATAAAGAGGTCATACCCAAAAGCAGCATCGATGCAGGCCTTTACATCTTTGTAGCTCACAACGAGACAGCTCTGTTCATCACGGGAAACGAGCATGATACGCTCGTCTGTGCCAGCGTCGAGCTAGGAAGAGAATGAGAATGTTTTCCAGGCAAACAAACAAAGAGCACCTTATTCAAACAAGCTAAGACATGCGAAAGATTGATGACCGGATTACCGTTCTCGTCCACTTGATGAAAGACGTAGTCTCGGAACAGCTTGATGATGTATCTATCACCCGTTTCGGACCAGCGAGGCTCACGGGCAAACCTAAAACGAAGCTTGAGATGCTATGCTCGGGTTGAGCAGTGATAAACGTACACGGGTCGCTCATTGATAAAACCAAATTTGCAAAGAAGGCGAACCAGACGCCCATTTTCGAGCTCGCTCATGAGCTCAGCTTCAAGCCTGTTGACTGAACTATATCAAAAGTATGAGTATTCGGACAAGCATACATCTACTTTCGTTTACCTGTGCATACCATCCATTTCGTGGACCAATCGGTTCGTTCCGATCATGTCGATGACTTGTGCAATGTTCTGAGAAACAATGAGACGGGCACAAAGAGGCAATACCGATGATGAGAAAGGCCAACCTTGTGTGGACCTGGTTTGGAGATCAAATAAAGAGCAAGAGTCTTGACGTCAGCAGAGTACTGGCGACCCATCATATCAAGTGCTTTAGGGAGCGTGTTCATAGCTGCAAGGTTATTGCAACAGAGAGCAAACACAAGGCGGCCAAACATTGCGAGGTCTTCTTGTTGGGCGATCGCAGTATCCTGGCGAGGATCATAAATTAGGACGTCTGCAATACCGCACGAGCCAATGCGAATTCTGAGCGCAGATATCAGATGCGTCACATACGAGGTGAGAGAGCGCACCTGTTCTTGCCAGTAACCATTATTTTGGTTGCATCAACCATGCGTACTGCAAGGCCCGCTTCGTGTACTGCTTTGATGGCGCTGGCAATTTGAATTATGTACGACCATAGAGTGGTCTCGAGTAAGGCTGCCGAGTAGGCTGAAAGACGGCCGTGCTGAAATACCGGCGGCTTCTGTTTGATGTGCATTTCAAAGAGAGTCTGGGCGTTCGGGTAGTAGTCATACGCGACCATCAAAGCTGGTCCTCACTTGTCAGCACGAGCGAAGTCAAATAAGGGTCCAACGTACAGTTGTCGTTGAATGCACGAGTAGTGAATGCTTCACGGACACGAGCTATGTTTGGATGCTCGACACGCGACCACGTTTCGATAGCTCCAAATGCAGCTTGGTGCATCAACCTGAAATCTGCGCAAGTCAATATTATGGGGTAATTATCCTGATTAGAACAAACTTTCAACGCGACGGAGAGCATATGGTACACCGTCGTTTGAACTGGTTGCGCGATAGACGGTAGAGTACCAGCTGAAGAACTTGCGCCGTTCTGTGACAGAAGGTTCAAGGAGAGCAAGGGAGTGATACCCCTGGAGTTCGTCGGGTAGGTTATGTCCGGGTAGTGGAACTAGTTGTGAGGCTTCCGAGCGTTTGTGCAGCTCCTCGCGAATCGCATCAGAGACAAAGTGTGTTGAGGGAAAGGCATCCGGAGCAGGGTGCGAGTAGAGATGATAGTCCAACTATACACGATAAAAGTCACATGTCCTTTTCCGCAGATGAGTATGAGAAGCTTACAGGTTGCCTTACAAACGTTGCCTGTTGAGATTGATAGAAGTTGCCTATAGGTGAGCCATGATCGTCATAATCCACCTACAATGAATATGGGTATATAAGCCTAGCAAGAAGTCGCACGAGAACATATTCGCACCTGCTGATACTGATTGACTAGTTGTTGCTCCAATGTTTGAGGTGTGTGATTGGAAATAGAGTCTGCATAATCATCGTATTCGTCGTTATTCTGATAGAAGATTGAAGGTGAGGGACTACACAGCTATTAGTAGTCGTTGGGTGGAGCATAGATTAGTCTTACGAAGGAGCGAATGACGATGCAGAAGTGGGAGACGGAGTTGCAATGGCATGAAAAGGTGCCTTCGGCACAAACACGGGAGCGTTGACGGCCTGTGCAGACAGCGAAGCAGGAATAGGTGATTCTGAACGTGGCCTGAAGAAATGATGAGGGCCCAAAGCAGTAGAACGTCGGAAACACTCCGTACGGATTATTTGAACCTTCAACCTGAAGAATCTTAAGAGGGGTGTACATACTGTGGAAACCAGGGACAACATACCAGTGGGTGATAATAGATGCAACCTTTGTCTTGATAACGACAAGATCTGCATGACGAATTCAAGAACTATGTCGCCGCTAAAGAGTTGATTTTACCCATAAATCAAGATATTCCTACATTGACGCTGGGGAGAATCTGATGAACCGGGTTAAATTGTGCATGGATAATCGCGTGAATCGAGAGTACTACCTCTCTTAGCCTGTAATTTAGCCTTGTCATCATTGTCTGCCGGGTTGACAATCTTGATAGCAGAACTCGAGGACTGTGGCCTTGGACTTGAGAAATAGGCCATAGGAACCTCCGGGTTGCCGCCTTAACTTCAGGTGATCTTTGCATCAAACATCACCTATAGGCTTAGTCATCCAGAATAGACTCATCGGCGCTTGCCGTGCTTAACGTCAGTCTTATGCATCGGTGAAGTAACTCGAGTCTCGCAGCACACGCCATGGATCGACTAGCTTCACAGTCAGATCCGCCAAGCTCATCGACATTTTCAAGTTCCTCAACCACCGGATTTCAGGGGAAAGTTGCGGAGTCATTAGACAAGCTCCCTCCTAATTGTAAAGACTTGGTGCACAAGTACTCTGCGTTCAACAAGTTCATTCTATACGAGAACAAACTGCGCTTCTATATCGTTGCCTCTAATGCCTCTGACTCGCGCCACCGGATTGTCAAGATTGACCGCACTTCGCAAAGTGATCTTGCCATTGTCGAAGATGACACCGACTACAGCGGCAAGCAGATGAGCAACATGCTTAAGATGCTGGAGGATGGTAACAAGGGATCTGGTGGGCTTGGCAAGGCACGTGTGATCTTTGGCATTGCAGGTAAGCTGGTCACCAACGCGTATATGGTCACTAACGGCCTTCCGTCACTAAGGGTTCGTAAAGTTTACCGCTGGGTGGTATATGATCGTCATATCAAAGCGTTCTGTTGTGGCACTTCTCGGTGGTCACTATCTGTACCATTGTGAGAACACTGAGATGATACCTGTTCCCTCCAACCACAAGATTGAGCGTCCTGCCGAGGAGCAGCGCCTTGTGAATATGTTTAAGCAAGTTGACATGTCAAAGAACTTCTACTTCAGGTGGGCGTGGTTCAAGTGTGCGAGCTTTACTGATTAGTATATATGTTTCACTCTAGCTACTCCTACGATATCACCTCTACCCTTCAAAACAATCTCACCAAGCCCGAGCGTTTCAATGCCACCACATGGCCCTTCAATGATCGATACGTTTGGAATTTTCACATGATCGCTGTACCTCTCAACGATTCCCCTGCCACTGGTGTTCGTCGTCCGTGGCTATTGCCCCTCATACATGGACATGTAGACCAGGCTAGTAAGTGGATCGACCGTTGACACTACACGCATCGTGATGCTTAGTGCGCTGCCAGAACTCACTGTGCTTGGGCGTGTAGTCTTTGTAACACTCATTGCCCGTCGGTCGCGCCATTATGCTGGAGCTCGCTATCTGACGCGCGGTGTTAATGAAGAAGTAAGGAATCGATATATATATATATAAATCACCTTGTTTCTTAAGCATTTACCAGGGAAACGTTGCAAACGAGGTTGAGACGGAACAAATTGTATCAGAAGCACTAACGACACCATTTTACTTCCCTCCTGCCGGTTCTTCGACAGGCGAACATCAACGTCGACCAAGCCCTCACTATACCAGCTACGTTCAGGTGCGGGCCAACACTTTTTGCGATCTGTCATGACCTTACATCTGACACATCTTTTCAGTACAGAGGCAGCATTCCCATATACTGGACGCAGGAAACCACTAGCATGACTCCCCGACCGCCTATTGAAAGTACGTCCTTTGTGACTTTTAAGTCACCTTTCTCTTGACACACCCCAAGTCAGCGTCGTAGATCCCTTCTATGTTGCTGCATCTCGTCATTTCGATGACCTTTTTTCACGATACGGCGCGCCAATCACAGTTCTCAACCTCATCAAACGGCGGGAGCCGCAGCCGCGCGAATCGAAATTGTTGGATGAGTACACTCAATGCGTCAAGTATCTGAATCAATTTCTTCCGGATGAGTACAAGATGGTTTATCGGGCTTGGGACATGTCACGGGCTTACAAAGAGTATGACCTTCATGCAATTTTGAGCGACGGTGTCTCAATATGACTGTAGGAAGACGCAGGACGTTATAAGTTACCTCGAGGACATAGCGGAGGTATCCATTCAAATGACGGGTTTCTTCCATTCCGGCGCGGAACCACTCGCTCACTCACTCCATAATGGTAACTTGTGCGTATCATACACGCCCATTTCAAACGCCACTTTGACTTATGTCATTTCCAGTGAAGAAAACGAAAATTGTCGCAGCTCAATCTTGCTGCAGAATGGTGTATGCCGCACCAACTGTGTTGACTGCTTGGATCGCACGAATGCAGCACAATTTGTTTTCGGGAAGCGTGCTCTGGGTCACCAGTTGTATGCCCTTGGTGTTGTTGCCAGTCCAAATCTTCCATTCGATTCAGATGCGGTGAACATGCTAACAGAAATGTATCATGACCATGGAGATAGTTGCGTATGCCCTGCAACTTGTGTTATGCATCGCTGATGTTTATTTTAGCCATTGCACTGCAGTATACCGGGAGTGCACTTGTGAATCGGGTAGAAACATATCGCAGGATGCCCCACTGGAACAGTCACTCGAGGGACATCATCGAAAACATCCGCCGTTTCTATGCCAATTCTCTTCTTGGTACCTACTTGCGTCATACTTTCGCTCACTCAAAACTGACAAGTTACCTCTAGATGCAGACAAACAAGCAGCAATCAACCTCTTTCTTGGCGTTGCAGCGGAGCGCAACCTGGTCCACCCTCCGAAACGTGGGCAGTACCAGCAATGGTTCCAGAAGCAGCATCTTCAGATGTTATACGAAGTGACTGAGTGCTCCTCAGCGTTATGTGACTTCGTCAACGTCCGCGGAGAATTTTGGCCGGAGTACTACCGGCCGCTGTTATTCACTTCGTTAGGAAAGCATTTTGCGTATTCCATGAATAGCACATTGAAGCTACCGGGGTAAGCAGTACTGTACAGTGACGAAATTTATGCTAATTCGTCTGTCGTCATTTGTAGGAAGACTATGAAGGACATCGCTTACAGTCCATTTCTGCCTCACAGCACTCATCCAGCACACCATCCACGGTATGTGTTCTAGTTAATCTATATGGTATTATCGTGTGAACCGTGTCCTAGGCTCATGGCAGGAGTTCGTCGTTGGATCGGCGCATATCCTTCGTCTCAGCACGGGTTTTCCAAGAAGGCATTAAGCTCCAAACAAGAGGTGTTGGAATCGGACCTGCCTTCCAGTGATGATCCTCGCTCATCAGCTGCGCTTGCCAAGAGATTGTTACATCCAGATGTGCCACTTGAGGAGCAAACAGAGTATCTGAAGTGAGTTTCTTTGGAATATTAGAGATGATAACTAAGCTTATTTTAGATATGTTGATCAGCGCTTTGCTTTGCTAGAGGCATGCAATGATGAAGCGGAACCTGAAGACAAAGAAATATATGAAAGGTTTGTCAGGAAGTCAAAGGGTGTTATGGAGGAGGTTAATTCGTGTGAAATTTATGTTACTTATGTTAAAACCATGGTGGCAGAAGATGTAGGTACTTATGGAGAGGACTTAGTGGCTACATATGAACAGTGGCTTGGGTAGAACATCTTGGTTGAGCTCGATGATAGAAGGAGTCACTAAATATTGATGGACTGAGTTGATGACGACGAGGTCCCCGTGATTATGTAAGCTACATTAGAGCTGTTGAGATCATACGAGTCCAAGCCTGTTGTGCCTTTGGCACCTCCAGTCTTCATCATCTCACCATAGTGTTCAACACAATTTCAATAAATAAATCATTGTCATATCAAACATACACATCTATACAATCTATTGTACATCAATTTTCAATCAGTCTTCTAACCACCTCTGTGTACACTACTGTACCATTTTGATCAATTCAACAGCCTCATGTGATAGTGACATAAAAACCCATTTCGACACCACCTGGGTTGCCCTATCAATAAGCCTAATTATACTTGGTAGTGACATGTCTCGCCAACTTTAATTAGGCTTGGAATCATTAAATCTCAACACCAGTGTTAAATAGTTCCCCAGCTCTCCGAAATACCTTCAAGAAATACTGTATCTACCTCACTATGGTGGAGACGGGTGCACGGGCCTGTTCGGCAAGCATCCCGCCTGGCAGAAATTGCATTACCTGTTCATTTTAATCCAATTTGAACCAAGGGGCTTCCCACACTTCCCATACCTCCTCCTCATCATGCTCATAGTCCCTGCTGTTCCCCTTCTCCTCATCTTCCCTCTTGCTACCTCCCTCTTGCTACCTCCCTCTTTCTGCTTCCTTCTTGCTGCTTCCCTCTTGCTGCCTCCCTTGTGTGCTCACCTTGCCTTGTATCCTTGTCCTTTATCTTATTGTGCCCATTGTCCCAACCTAGCCAATGCCTCGCAGCTCAGGTGTCGGGAGGGTCAAAGGGCTCTCCAAATCTGTCATATCCCATGACTTCAGAGGGTGCCATTGCTGTTCCAAAGTCCTGATGGCCGGCAAACAACGCCAGCATATGGCACAGGCAGATTCAAGCTGTCAGGCTGCTATACAAGGTACATCCATGTTCTTTGTTATTATAATGCTAATTTTGCACTAGAGATGTCAGCAGAGGACCAAAGCATCATTGAGAATATGATGGCAGATTTTGGAATGGAAGTGGAGGTGTTCATGCATACAGCACCTCCAGGTGAAGAGGCTTTTGATCTCAGTCATACAGGTGGGGAGCACGAGGCATTCAAAGGGCTCGCTCATCAACTGGCGGATCTCACTGGTCAGTACATGTTCACAACTATATCCAACTCTTCCTATGATAACACCCATTGTAGTCATCACATTGACCCACAATCTTGGGGAGAACAGACAGAAGATCAAACAACTCATTGGAACCTTGAGATGGATCACCTAGTTGATGCCTACTTAAACTATCACTGTTGAGATTCTGGGGATGTGTTAAGACCATGCTCAGGGGTAAAGCGGAGTCTGAGGGGCTTGGCTTCAGCTCGTACGCTGCGCCCCTTACCCGAGTACGTGCCTCTAATTTCGGAATGTAGTCCAACACGAATTCTATGAGTTCCGACAGGACATCGGAACGGGGGTCCTCTGAAGGAGGACTGACAGACTACTAGGTGAGTATGGGAAAGTTGGGTGGGGGTTGTTCTGCCCGACAGGAGGGAGGCAGGAGACTACTGTGGTGGGAACCAACAGTAGAAGTGGAGTGGGAGGGACTGCTTGGATGAAGTCTGAAGCAGAGCAGAACGGAGGGGACGGATGCGAGAATGCGGGGTTTAGTTCTGACGCACGGGAAGTTGGACAAGCGAAGGAACGGGGGAACAGGGGAATGGGGGAATGGGGGAACAGGGGAACTGGGGGAATGGGGATGGAGGATGGGGAATTGGAGGATTGGAGGATTGGAGGATTGGAGGATTGGAGGATTGGAGGATTGGAGGATTGGAGGATTGGAGGATTGGAGGATTGGAGGATTGGAGGGTGTCTGACCTAGGGAGTCAATCCTCTAGGCCGGCTAACAGGAGTTGACTAGGATCAGGCCCAAGTCAAAGAACAGAAGAGCAGGGCTTAGAAAAGGTAATATTCAGACTGAGTATCTACAGACAAATGTACATATGTTTATATACTCTAAGTGATGAGCATAGCATAGCAGAATGCTATGTGCTGAGTGTACAGGATTACAATAGGATGACTGAGACATACAAGAATAAGGCTCAGGGAACAGTATGTACGTGACAGATCAGAATCGCTAGGGTATAGGGATTACTGGTGATCTGAAAAGCGGAACTATGATACTAAATGGGGATAGGACCAGTTGAGTGGTTCCTAGTCTAGGAGTGGACTGGTGAGGCTGGTTGGATGGACTAATAGTCGGGTGGGACAAGATGAGCGGAACTGAGTGGGTCCGAAAAGCGGAGGGAGTAGGAGTAGGATTGGGTGGACCAATAGGGCGGAGGAGTGGAACCCCAGATAGGGTCGGATGGAAGGGGTATGGTGTCGGAGGACATAGGGGTAGTGTCAGAAGAGCGGAATGGGGTCGGGTGGAAGTAGCGGGGCTAATCCTGCTGAGATGCACTTTGTGCATTGTCGGAGAAGAAGGAATGGAGTGGACGGGGAAACAGGGGGTTGGACCAGGGGTGGGGATGTTCACAGGTGGTATTGGAGGTGCTCAGATCTGGTATATGACAGGATGGTATGCCAGATATGTCGGATCAGGACCTGTCAGGCATCAATGCTTCATTTTTGATTAATGACATTGAACTCATTGATACTTTCAGTAAGTTTGAAATGGTGCTTTATATCTTAATACTTATTTTTTCTTTGCCGCAAGAAGGCACACACATCTACAACCATTACCGTTGCATCAGTACCCTAATGAAACTCTTATCTACTATGGGTACATTGGGTGTGCCCCAATGTATCCTTCTGTTATGATATTGCCTTGTACACTCACCACCTACCATCAATCACATTGAACATGTCACTGGTTTAGTATCCAATCACAATGCAAAACTTTATGTTACCTTCATGATGTACATACAATGTTTACATTGAGGTTCGCTTATTTATGTTGAGTTTGTAGTTTCCATATCAACCATACCTAAAAACGCAATTCTCTGCAGCATATGACACTTTTCTAGAAATCATTCATTGTGTAAACCAGCACCTGCAGGGGGTGCTCAAATGGGATACTGTTGACTGGCATCTGCTAAACTCATGCCCTCTGTGCTTTTATAATCTCGACAATGAGCCTGCACTCAATTTTGAATGGCTGGTATCCATTGATGGTAATAATAGCCTGAAGCGATGGGACTCAACCATTTATGGGACAACTGCTCAATCTGATTCTTGCAATGCTCATTCGGATTCATGCTAGTGCTGTTGACAAGTTTAAGGATGAAGTAAAATCCCAACAAGTAAGTGCTCACTATTCATACAACTATCTTCTAACATTATCTTTTAGACAGACTCAAAGAGTGATGACAACTGGATGGATGAGCCCACAGACACAAATCTTGCAGGAGCATTCTCGTGTGTGAATTGGTGGAGAAACACTGGACCAGACACATGTAAGAAGATGTTTGCAGTATTTGAGGAGTCGGGGATTTTCATTGCTTCATGCCGACATCGTTTTGTGCTTCTAGCATGTGATATGATCTGAAGCGGAGAACTGTAAGACTGCATTCTGAAATGATTTTGCTTGTACTGATGTGTGTTGGCAGTGCGAAATATCCATTGGCAATCATCAACAAGCTGCTTACTGTGTATGGCCAAAATGGAGGTTGTGCTTATGATATCGGTTGTGCCTTCTAAAAAACATTAACCAATAGCACATTGGGTCCTCATGCACACAATTGAAGGTGCCAGCTTGACTGGCACCTGATGTATATTTCGGGAACAGGGCATACTGAGGGCAAGGGTTGCAAGCACATCTTCTCCGCATCTAATGAGCTTGCACGTAGCACAAGACATGCTAACCATTTTCATCACCACCAAGCCATTGAGGAACATTTTGCATTTTGGGATGCCAATAAGTATGCTACACTTAGTACGTCATGACACATTTACAACCACAATACTGATGCTTGCTGTCAGGCAATTATTTGTGGAATCATTATTGAGAAGCGTTGAAATCAGTTTGGTTGTTGATGGCTGAGCTAGAGACTATCAAGGCTGAGCTATGCATCAGTGACGATGACTTCCCTGGATTCTTCGATCAGGAATGCATATACCTGGATAGTTTGAAGCAGCCAGCTCCACAAGATTGGCTCTCTATATGTTATGTTGAGGTACTTGACAAAATTGCAGAATGGAGGTGTCCTACATTAGCTATTAACTGCCACCCATCTCTGATGCCGAATTTTAATAGGGCTGAATGGGATTTTGCCTGTGAATCCGGCAATAATGCCCTTACAGGAGTAGATGCTGGCAGTTTGGAACAAATGAACGACACACTCAAGCAAGCCTGCATCTGCATTGATTCTTCCTACACCAAACTACAGCATGCCGAGAGGCTTGTCACTCGTTGCGAATGTGTCTTATCTGTTGATGAGAGATGGGTGATTGGTGGCAAGGAATACAACCATTTCAAGGAGGAAGCAACACTTGGCAAGTATTGTGCTGCATTAGACAAGCTGGAACATTCGGTCATTATGAGATTATTTGAACTTTTGAAGCTCTCATTATTGGGCACAAGTTTGAGTGTTCCGCTACTAGTAGGTGCTTGTACTATGACTGATTGATTTGTTTAGGGTACAAGCTATGTCAACAAATTAGCAAAGCTTTACAGCTCAAAGTGGACCAAAGCGGACCATTCATCCTATCGTCGGACAATGTCGGACCCGCTCCAAATTCAGGGCACATACTCGGCTAAGGGCGCAGTGCAAGAGCTGAAGCCAAGCCCTGACCCCTCTGCTTCCTGAGTCGGCACAGTACCTAACAGTATATTAAGACCTCCTCTTAGCCGAAGTATACTGATAAGAAATAACCCCTATTCCAATAAGTAAAAACATATGTCCGACATGACCACCACCACCCGCACTACCCAGAATTCCCTCTGTGCTGCAGGACTCCTGCCTTCAAGGCGAAGTCCTTCTGACATCATCGCGACCTTCACCAGCTTCTCCCACTGTCACACCGCTAGCACACATGGCTCCACCCGGAGTTACACCAACCTCATCACCCACCCACACCCCAGCACTCCCACCTGCACTCACGTCTCCGACGACCAATCCATGACAGATGGTCACGACCAAACCCCGAATGCCCCTAGAGAGCCAGGAGGTTCAGTCGGCTCTGTCAGGTCGGGAGGCCCGGCGGTGCAGGCGGCCCCCCATCAGACAACGAACCCTCAGGGGGTCCCACTGACGGATTCCCAGTCGATGATCCCCACGACCTTATTTTTCTCCGCCTTTCGCAGGCAATAGACAACCTTGCCTGCAGCTCTCAGTGCTGCTCCGCTCCTGAGGAATCAAAATCAAGGGTCCACGAGCCTGACACATTTGACAGCTCTGACCCTCGCAAGCTCCGCGCCTTCTTTGTCCAGTGCGAGCTTAATTTCCAGAGCTGCCCCCGCACTTACTGCTCCAACCAAGCAAAGGTCACCTTTGCCCAATCTTACCTCAAGGGCATGGCCTTGGAATGGTTTGAGCCTGACCTCCTTTCCGACTCCCTCGGGGACTGCCCCAACTGGATGGACAATTACTCCGCCTTCATGTTAGACTTGCAGACTAATTTCGGTCCTCATGATCCAGCAGGGGACGCGGAAGCTCAACTCGAACAACTCCATATGCACAACAGCCAATGTATTAATAAATACATTGTCGAATTCCAGCGGCTCACCTCGCAGGTCCGCGGTTGGGGGGATGGTGCCCTCCGCCGCCAATTTTATAATGGACTTCCCCCCCCGCATCAAAGATGAAATCAGTCGGCAGGGAAAACCTTCCGCCCTCTCAGAATTCAAAACCCTTGCGCAGATAATTGATGCACGCTATTGGGAATGTAAGGTGTTACGGCTGTGTTGTTCTATGAACTTCTTTTCTTCTTTCCCTTGATCCACACTGACTATGCATGACTCTTATCGCTCTATATTTAGTTCAGTATGACTCAGATACCTCATTGCTTACACATGTAGCTTACTGATCATTACCTATTATTATGTCATACCCTGTACCCTGTTTACTATATAAACCCTGGCTAGGTGACACTGATTCTTCAGCTTAACCTACGCTGGTTTTCCTCTGATCACTCTGACTTGATTCTAAGTTACCTCTTCGGTACTTAGCCTTTACTTGAACTTGGGTGTTCTTTAGACAGTTGTCTAGAATGTATCAATAGACCTTTGGTCTTATTGATTGATTGTTTGCCTGCGTTATACTTTAGCTTAACAAAAGGTTAAGCTCTCATCTTACATTGTCATATCCCTTATCAACAAACCCACCACGAACCCGATATGTCCGACGACGGCATGGAAAGCTACTCAGTGAAAGAAATCAGGATTGCTATGCCCCCTGCATTTGATGGTGTTAAAGCAAGAGCCAAGTTATGGTTCAAGCAACTCGAAACCTACCTTGAAGTCAATGAAGGGGTCTATAACGATGACCTTAAGAAAGTCGCATTTGCACTCGCATTAATGTCCAAAGGAGAAGCTGCCAAATGGGCAGAAGGATATTACAAAGCCGAACACGGATATTGGTACAACCATGTCATTATGCCTGCAGTAGCAGCTGCTCAAGGAGTTGCCGCTACCCCAGCAGTCACTGAAAGAAGATGGCGATCCACCAAGCTAGGAACTTGGGGGGAATGGGAAAACACCTTCCAAGTCTATTTCTTTCCAAGAAACGTCAGCATGCAAGCTGTTGCTAGGATGCAAAACGCAAAGATGACCAGAACCATTGAACAATACATTTCCTACTTCAATCGACTCGTCCCTGATGCAGAAATCACCGACGAAAAGATGAAAATCCTCTTCTTCTGCAATGGGCTTTGCGACAACATCAAGGCCGCCATCATTATGTTAGTTGTGGTGATTGAGCACCTTATGGTGCGAGCTATTTGTGTTATGATGTTGCTTCCTCTATTGGACTCTCACTTAGCATGTGATGTGAATTCCTTACTTACTTAGGCAGTGTTTACACTTGTTTACATAGACTCGCCCATAGGTAGCAAGTCCTGTGTTGGTTGCTCTTTAGCAACTGACACTGGACTATAGGTATAGTACACTCATTAGTTTACACAACACAATAGCAACTGACACTGGACTATAGTCCTGTTCACTCTCATTAGCTCACTTGTGGCTTGCTTCACTTAGTTATTCAAACACATTAACCAACCAGAATTACCCAATACTTATGAAGGATGGGCTGCAGCAGCATTCGAGATTGAGTCTTGCAGACATGCTGTCTTCTACAAACATAATGGAGGGAGAGCTTCCAAAGATCCAAATGCCATGGATATTGACAGGATCGATGTCAGTAATGAAGAAGAAGATGAAACTCAACTACGTGCCACCAGACTCTCTAGATCTGAGCAAGACAGATGCCACAAACTAGGCCTCTGCTTTAAATGTGGAAAGAAAGGGTTAATGAAAGATTGCCCTAACCACAGGGACTCTGTGCCTGGTTGGCAACCTCGGAGACAGGTACTGGCCCACGAAACTAAGATCGAGAAAGACGATCAAGAGAAGGAATATCAGGAATTCCTCTCATGGAAGGCTATGAAAGCCGCTTCTTCTTCCAAGAAGGATTTCTGAATGGGGAGACCAGACCGGTGTCGGAAACCCCTAGTACTTCTATCAGACTCATTGTATCTTCTGTAGGTGATTCAAATTCCATGCACATTCCTATTTTGATCGAATCCTGCAAGTCCAATAAAACCGCTGAAGCAGCAGCCCTTATCAATTCAGGCACTGCTGGAACATTCATTGATTGGAAATACGTATGAAAAAACAATTTCTCAACTCACAATCTCTCTTCACAAATTGAAGTCCGGAACATGGATGGAACAAAGAACAAAGCAGGAACCATCACCAAAGCCTGCAACTTGTTCTTCTCAGCAGGAGGACGAACTATGTTCGCTACCTTCCTTATCACGTCTCTTGGAGGTGAAGATATCATCCTCGGACTGCTCTGGCTCAAAAACAAAAACCCACAAATTGATTGGACAAAGAATGAAGTTTCACTAGAAGAAGATCCAATCATGATCAAAACTCTGTTAGAATAACCAAGTGAACCAAGCCACAAGTGAGCTAATGAGAGTGAACAGGACTATAGTCCAGTGTCAGTTGCTATTGTGTTGTGTAAACTAATGAGTGTACTATACCTATAGTCCAGTGTCAGTTGCTGAAGAGCAACCAACACAGGACTTGCTACCTATGGGCGAAGTCTATGTAAACAAGTGTAAACACTGCCTAAGTAAGTAAGGAATTCACATCACATGCTAAGTGAGAGTCCAATAGAAGAAGCAACATCATAACACAAATAACTCGCACCATAAGGTGCTCAATCACCACAACTAACACTCCCCCCTGATTGTGCACCTCTACACATCTCAGCTCCCCCTCAAGCTACTCAGTCCCATCATCTGGCAGAACAACTGCACCTTGGGTCGAGCCAATGCCTTGGTCAGGATGTCAGCTGGCTGGTCAGCAGTGGGCACAAACACTGGTGCAATAATCTCCTTGTGCACCACATCTCGAAGCCAATACCAGCTGAGATCAAGCTGCTTCATCCGACCATGGTGCTCTGGGTGCTTGGCCACAGAGATGGCGCTCTGGTTGTCGATCCTAAGGACAGAGGGTGCAGTGGCAGGGAAGCCCATCTCAAACAAGAGATTTCGCATCCAGCGGATCTCCTTGCCTGCCTCAACTGCAGCCATGTACTCAGCTTCAGTGGTGGACAAGGCCACAATGCTTTGAAGCTTCGACGACCAGGAGACAGCACCAAGGCCAATCTTGACCAGGTAGCCACCAGTGGAGCGACCAGTGTCTTTGCATCCACCATGATCAGCATCAGAGAATGTGGAGAAGAGTTCGATGGAATTGGGATCAGGAGCATAGGTGATGGAGTAGTCTGCAGTGCCCTTCAGATAGCGGAAGCAGGTGCTTGACAGCTTGCCAATGGGCAGGGCCAGGGTTGGAGTTGAATCGAGCTAAACAGCCAACAGCGTAGGCAATGTCTGGTCTGGTGGTGGTGGCAAGATACATCAGAGCACCCACAGCTTCAAGGTAAGGAGTGGATCGCATGTCCTGAGTCTCATCAGCAGTCTGGGGACACTGAGCACGAGTGAGTCGAAGATTGGGCTGCATGGGAGTGGAGACAGGCTTGCAATCAGCCATGCTGAAGCGATCAAGGATGTCAAGACAGTACTGGTGCTGGGAGATGGTGATGGAGTGCTTGGAGCGATCCCTGTCAATCTTGATGCCTAGAAGCTGGGTGGTAGGGCCTAAGTCTCGAAGCTTGAAGTGCTGAGACAAGTCCTTGATGATCTGATCAATTGCGGAAGCAGACTTTGATGCAAAGGTCATGTCATCAACAAAGACAGGCAAGATGATCCTAACTTCACCCTTGACATAGATATAGATGCTGGCATCAGAGTAGGACTGGGTGAATCCAATAGACTCAAGAACAGAGCGCATTTTCTTGTTCCAGCGATTGCCACCTTGCTTGGTTCCATAGATGCTCTTCTGAAGAAGGCAGACCATCTTCTTTGGATCACCTTCAGCAAAGCCTTCAGGTTGTTCCAT